AGTCAACACGACCTCATAGAGCCATGTCGGTTTGTCTGTCTCCATGCGAGCTAGTTTCTCAGTTTTAAAGCTACCTTCCACGCAGAGCATTATTAGAAGCGACTAGTTCGGACAACTATATCATATATGTGTCATAGGAACGAACGGTCGTTAATTAAGTTATTGTATGAAAAACTCTTTTATATTAATATAATTTGACCAAACTCGGGAGTTATTAGTTCCATTATGATATTCATATAGCCGGTATAGGAAAGAATAGTAGTCCAAAAACCTAACATTTTTGACTTTCACGTTTCTTACAATTTACCAACTGGGATAAAATTAACAGATATTTCCTATAGATAAATATTTGAACCAATGCGTAGATTAGTTTAAATAAAACAGTTTTCATTTAGGTATATAAAGTACCTGCTCTGTGTATACAAAATATGTCACTAATTCAGTTCACGGTCCAAGCCAAATCCAAGCAGACAGATTCTGGTCTACATATTTTCCAATTTCAAACTTAGTCTATTTATACGACAGGAGAGCCCATCCATACTATGTCGAGTTGCATTACGACAGTTGTAGGTAGAAAGATTCGCTTGCATAGAAGAATATAGACGAACATATACATTTTTTTCGCTATGCCTTTATGTGGTCGGAGATGGCAGCTTCAATGCTTTAGACATTATAAGCAATAAAAAAGAGCATAAAACATAATTTCCTTGACTTATTTTCCCAAAATAAACATCAGTTTTGGATGCAATTATATAATGTTTGTATAATCCTTAAAGCAACTGAAAGCGAGTTAGAAAATCAAAATCTTATCATAATTGAATTTATCTTTCTAGTTCTATCCTTTTGTAAATATTCAAAAAGTTTAACATTAGGGTCTTGTTTCTTGCAGTGTGCAGCACCACGTTGTGGGTGGGCCACCTCTCAAAGCTGGTATATCAGGAGGAATTGTCGGACACTTTTGGCGAGTATGGCGATATCGTGAGCATCGACCAGATTGTGCCAAGGGGTTGCGCCTTTATTGTGATGAATCGCCGCCAAGATGCGCACAAGGCCATGCAAGCGCTAAAGAATCACAAGCTGCAAGGGCGTGCCATTACCATATCATGGGCAGCCGGCAAGGGTGTCAAGAGTAAGGAATGGAAGGACTTCTGGGACCTCGAGCTCGGCGTCACATATGTGCCGTGGAGCAAGCTGAGTCCCGATACCGACTTTGACAGTCTTGAGGAAGGCGGCATGTTTGACGAGGACACCATGCCCAGCTGGATGAAGCAGAAAATAAATCAGGCGAAAAATGTCAAGGAAAACAAGTCGACTGTCCCAACCGCTGACCTCACAACGGCGCCGCCTGTGGCGCCGCCAAACTTGCTCTTCGGCATTGACACAACACAGCCACCGCCAGTGGCACCGCCACAGCATGGCGGGCCGGGGGCGCCTCCGCCTGCTCTGATGGGCATGGTGCCTGGCCAGTTTCAGATGGCGCCGCCTTTGGCCGGACCGCCACCACAGCGCATGATGGGTCCAATGGGACCCATGAATCATCCATTGGGCGGCATGCCCATGCCTCCAAATATGGTGCCCGGTATGCCACCGCCAATGATGATGCCGCCTAACATGATGCCGCCCGGCTTTCCGAGCATGGGCGGTCCGCCGCCACATCCCCTGGGACTGCCGCCAGGCGCGCAGTTCCCCCCACCCGGTGCTGTGCCGCCACCCATGGCCACAATTCCAACACCTGCGGTCTCTGGGGCTGGCAATGTGAGTGACGATCAAATGGACATAGAAATGGAACTTGAGGATGCGCCGCAATCCGTCCCGCCGCCATCACAGCAGCAGCAACAGCAACAACCACCGAACTTTAGCCAGCCGCCGCCTATTTTTGCTGGTGGCTCAGCGCCACCCAACAGTGCCGAAGTGGCTGCAGCGGTCGCAGCAAATGAATTGTTTCAGAGGGAGCGAACACGTGGTCCCGGCGGCGGCTCACGTTGGGGTGGCCGCGATGACATTGGCGAGACGTCGGATCGCTGGCGAAATGAAAACGGCGCAGGTGGACCACCTCCGCTTAGCGGAGCGTTCACTGAGGCTCGAGCGCGCCTTAACCTAAACAGCTTGGAGCATGGTGGCATTCCACGTCCAGAATTTATGGCTGGCTTGGGTAAGTTCCAGGCAGTGTAGAGTTATATTCTTCGACTACATCTCGTTTGATTCAATGCAGACTTTGATAATCGTACTGGCGGTGGCCCACGTGGCATGGGACCAGGACCTCGCGGTGGGAACCATAATGGCGGCAACGGCGGCGGTGACTTCTTCCAGCCCAATATGAATCCGAATCGCTTCAATCAGCCAACGAGTCTGATGCAAATGCGCATACTGCCGCCAGCGGCGTTTAATCAGCGCATGGGTGGACCGGGCACGGGCAATGGAGTAGGCCCCATGTTTATGCGCAATCAAGGCGGCGGGCCAGGCGGCAGACAGCAAGGACCAGGTGAGCATATTCCAGCTGCAAAATGGACCCAGTACTAACTAAGGAATTTATTTGCAGGCTTCTTCAATCCACGCAATCCGTTTAATGATAACCAGCGGGGTCGCGGCGGCGGCAACGGCGGTGGCGGAGGTCGTGGCATGGGTGGCAGTGGAGGTGGAGGTGGAGGTCGCGGTGGCCGCTGGAGTGATGAAGAGGATGATAACGGCATAAACAACAACAACAGCAACTTTAAACGTCGTGGAGGCGGTGGCCCAGGTGGCCCTGGCAATCGATTCCGTGGCGATCGAGACAGTGACGATCGTCGCGGAGGCAATGCACGTGGCGGACGAGGTGGGCCGCGTAGCGAAGAGCGTGAACGTGCGCCCAACAACAATAACAGACGTGGCTCGCGCGATGACAGTAATCGTCACTCAATAAGCTCCACGGATGAGAACGCATTGCAAGGCAAACAATCTTCATTAGAGGCAGATGATTTTAAAAATAAGTCGGTGGCAGCGCCATCCGTGAATAATGTTGCGAAATCAGCCGTAGTCGATACAGAGGAGGATTGGGATAGAGAGCTGCAGGAATACGACGCGAGAATGGAGGCGCAGCAAGCTGCGGAAAGCGCTGCTGCTGCTGCTGCTGCTGAAGCTGCTGCTGCTGCTGCTGCTGCTGCTGCTGGTGATACTGCTGTAGCTGCTGCTGCTGCTGAAGATAGCCAGCAAGCGGAAACAATGACCGAGACGGAGGCGTTTGCCAGACCAGTTTTGCAGGAGAGCAGCGAAGCGTCTAAGCCAAAGGCGCCATCACCCGTCTGCACGCCCCTCTATGACGAGTTGCCGCCACCGTTGTCAGCAGCTTCAGCAGCAGCGCCGCCGCCTCAGCAAGATGAGCAGCCGGAGGAGCCGCAGCCAAAGATCGAACAGCGGGTTACTGAAGAAATTGCGCCAACGCCAGCAACACCACAGCCGGAAGCAGCGCCCGCCGCAGAGATTGAATCAACGAAAGAGATAACGGAGGCTGAGCCAGTTGCCAGTGCCCAGCCAGAAGTCGAGACAGACACATAGAATGCTGACAAAATAGTTCATTAGAAGCAGCAAAACGAACTTTCGACGGTAAATCAAAAGTGTGTCGAAAAATGTGTAATTTATAATTTCCTTACAATATGATTTATACATGTATGTGTGTCGCCCAACATGCATGCAAACATTTATATATTATTAAAATTTTAGCTTGAGATTACGCATTTGTTGAGACGCGACGAGTCTGCACCATTCTTGCTAGGCTAAGGCGCTTTATATTATTATTATTAAAGTTTTCACTTCAAGGCTTAGCTGCCGCCAAACCACAAACTAAACAACAATTAGGGGGCGTCGCTGATCCCTAAAGTCGGATGCTAGAAATTTTCATTTTCCATACAGTTATGTATGTAAAAACAAAACTAAAAATATATTTAGAAGAAAAGAAAAACTCCCATTATCAGATACAGTTAAAGGCGCAATGGAACAAACTGTAGCAAATAATTAGAGAATAAAATGTATGGACGAAATTGATAGACAGAGAAAACAGCCACGCTTGAAATGTTTATTATTTTGTTATGTATATAATTTTAAGCAGGTATTTAACACAAATCGTTTCTTATATGCAGATTATAAGTACAGATATAATAATGTACAATCTAAATATGAAAATATTATCAATACTATTAATAAAAAAAAAAAAACAAAAACTGACAGTTGACTTAAATACGTGTGTTTGTATGCGTACAAGTAAACCCTAAACATTACCGTAAAACATTATTTAAAACCTATTTTCAAATTCTCATATAGCTCCCAACGATTATACGACACCCGAGATTTTGTAACTTTAACTTCGGTAACCCAAAGATACATTTATTCTTTAATTTTAGTAAAACGAATTTGGCAATGGAGTTCCTTTTGCGCTACACCTAGACATATTTTTGGTTACTTTATGGATATCTAATCAATAAAAGACTTTATTTAAGATTATTACAAAATTAGCATAAGAATAAGTTTTAGAGACCCCTTCCATTTATTTAGCTACGTTGAGATAACTGATATTTTTATTATTAACATTTAAATTTGAGGTTAGGCCAACAACCATATTATCGTTTCCGTTGACAAGAGTTGCCTTTCAATATTGTGATTTACAACACTTGTAACGTGTTTTGCATTATTATCATACCAGCTTTTTGAGCATGTTGTAAGCTTTTGGTTTAATATCCTATATCTATCGATAGTTAGAGTAGCGATAGTTTGGTTCAAATTTGGTGGGTAACACAGTTGGGCCTTACAAAAACATAAAATTGAATGGAATATCTTTTTTTTAAATGTTCAACAATTTGCATTTTTATATTTAAAATAACTATTGATCTGGTTCGTGCATAAAAACAATTTTTTCTCGAAAAAAATCGGCTTCTGTTAAAAACGATTCGCCAAATTTTAATGTTAATGTTATGTATCTGTTATGTTAATTAACATTTCTGTTTGGTATTTTTCATAAATAAAAAAGTCTTTGCACATATATGTGTGTGTGCGCGTCATTTTAGAGCGTGAATTTTCGATTCGGTAAAAAACGTAAAAAAGCTAATCAATAATATCTATGAATGTTTTAAAAAATTAATGGACTGCAAATAAGACTACTGATATACGATAAAACTCTCTAACTGTATGTATTTAACTCCAAACAACGCTGAGCGACGTGCAAAAGAAAAATTTGGTTTCTCTGTGCCAAAGAATTTACCCACACGAGTATACGCATACATATACGTACGTGGATACACATGTGCATATGTGTACATGTGTGGCTGTTTGTAAGAAATGTGCAAAATTTTATAAAACATCCATATACAAGAGTGTTAAAAGTCATTGCGGAACACGTTAGCCACTCTATTTAATTGTCGATAATACAGTGGATGCTGCAATAGTGAGAGTGAGAGAGAGAGAGAGAGCAGAGCAGAGCAAAAAATATACACAAATCTTGTGAAATTGTATGCTATATTAAAAAAAAAAAAACATTTCTGTGCATGTAGAAACATGCATGGATGTGTGTATTTGAATATAGGCATGCATACATACATAAAGGAGCGCGCGCGTGTGTTCAGAGTGTGAAAAATGTACATTGATATATATATATATGTATGTGCATACATAGGGACCGCCGCCAACAAACCACACATACATACTCATACACGCATTCAGGCTGCTGTATATGTGTGTGCATGAATGTAATGCGAAAAAGCAACGTAACCGCTGACGACGTCGGCAGCTGGCTGCGACATCCAGGAGCAGCATCCTTATTTCTTTTCCTGTAAGCGCGCTCTCTTGTTGCTTTTCGTCTGCAGATGTGGATGCTGTTCAACAGCCATCCCCATCCCCATCCCACTGAAACAGCCGCAGACTGTCCACACAGTCCGCTGTGTATGTTGAACAACTTTTCGTTTAGTGCTGCCTTCGCGGTCGTTGTTATTGTTGCTGTTACCTGGCTACACTTGGTATTTTGTATATTTAATGCAAACGACAAGCTGATATTTTGTTTATGCCATATACATATATATTATTCAATCAAGGTGATTACACTGTTAGCTCGACTATTATCAAATCGACACCGGCGTCAATTAATTAATGTGAAATTAATAAAGACTATTGCACCCAAGTGCCAACATTCATACTGAAAAACAATCAACAAAAATATAAACGAAAATAAGTATGAAATAATCGCATTGCGCTCAACTAAGGCGAAATAATATCAAAGACATTTTACACATACTTATGTATGTATGTATGTATGCCTAAAAGTTCATTAGTCTGTGTTTTGGTTCTGCCTATGTCGCCTAAAACAGCTGTACATTCATGATCAGTGACAATTTTATCGCTACAGTTCTTGTATGCGTGTGTGTGTGCAGTTGTGTATGTTTGCAGCTAGAAAGTGCAGACATCCTAATTACTTACACAGGACTTTACAGTGCAATAACAGAATGTTAAGCTTGTTTCTTTTTATGTGCGCGTGTGTGTATTTGGTTTAAAATGTCCGTCAATAAGCGACAGCAAACAGATTTTCTTCTTAAAGTGATGGGGTTACCGTGACATTTGTGCAAAACTACAATTTATATCTAAATACGCAAAATGTTTGTATGAAAAAGCATATAAAAAAACACGCTTCCGTACTTTTGCTACAAACTGATTTTTAAGCAATAGAATCTTCGCTAATGACATCCATATCAAATTATTCAAAGTGCAGTTGCTTTGCTACCTATCCGTCAATAGATTTACCATCTCTATTTGCATATGTACAGATGTATTAGCACATCTATGCGCACATACATGCTCGTGTGCGTATGTATATTTGTATGAAGCCAGACGTCATCAGTAAGCTCAGTTTCCGTTACCGTTGCTCGCTGTGTCAGTTTCGGACACTCGCATAATGCGCTCCACTTTTGGATGCTATTTATAAACGTTTTACCTTATATGTATGTATACAATCCCATACAGCCACAAACGCACGCACACAAGCATACACATGCGCAAGGATGGTTTTTCTGGCTGTGAAGCTGTTTCCTTTAAATCTGCATACATATGTACAGTATGTCAATAAAGTGTTTTGACTAACGAAAAAAAACTAATTTTTTGGGTTTAGTTGAAAATAAATGTACCTAAAAGTGAGAATTTTTTTTCAATTCTAATTTATTTCGATTCTATATTTTTCCTAGAACTTAATGGCAAAAAGAATTGTTAAATAACATTACCCAAACATTTTATAAAATTAAAAAACTAAAAACATTCAAATTTTATGCTGTCAATAAAGTGTTTTTACACGAAACTTTATTACTAAATAACAATGTTAAAAAAACAGGAATATTTTTTTTTAATACTTTGTGTGGCTGCCATTAGCGTCACATACAGCCTGCAATCGCCGTTTCATTGAAACAATAAGGTTTTGTATGTATGTTTCTGGAATCTTCTGCCATTCTTCCAGTACAGCAGCTTTTAAATCAGTTTTTGATTTTGGACTCCGCTTTGCGACTTTTTTTTTCAAATATGACCACACATTTTCTATTGGATTCATATCTGGACTTTGTGGTGGAGTGTCTAACACCTTTCCACAGTTGTACAACAGCCAAACTCTTACCATATGAGCTTTATGCTTCGGGTCATTGTCCTGGTAAAATTTAAAAATTGGCTTATTGTCCTCATAGAATCCAAATTTCTGTGCACTACTGACGAGATGTGTCTGTAAAATGCTCAGATATTGTCTAGCATCCATGGTATTCTCAATGAAGGTCAAATCTCCTACACCCTTGCTCGAAATACACCCCCACACCATCACTGATAGTTTTCCGAATTTAACGGTTGGAATAATATTGCGGTTTTCCAACGCTGTTAGTGGCTTTCTCCAGACTCTGGATGGCCCATCGTTGTAGAATAGCATCATCTTGCTTTCGTCACAGAATATGACGTTACTCCAAAAATCGTTCGAACTATTTACATGGACTTGAGCGAACGATAGCCGCTTCAAAATATTCGCCGCCGATAGTAGAGGTTTTTTCCTGGCAACTCGTGATGTGTAGTCATTGGAATTCAGTAATTTTCGGACAGTTTCATGTGACACATCAACACCACTTTCTTCCTTGAACTCCTGAGCAATATCCCTAAGCGAAATTTGTGGATTTTTCTCAATTTTTCTCAGAATTTTTCGCTTATCTCTGTCAGAAATTTTGCAGGGTCGACCACATACTGGCTTTGCCTCTAGCCTATCTTCCTTATTGGCTCTGTTTAATATGTTGTATATCGTTGCTTTTGATAAATTAAACATATCAGCCAGTTCCGAGACTTGACGTCCCATCTGATGGTTATAATACACCAGCTGAGCGACTTCAAAAGTTGTTCTTTTTCCTGGCATTTTATTTTTCATAAAATTAAAGCAAAACGTTATAAATTGCAATAGAAAATGACAAGAAAAGTCGAAGACACAAGAGAAGCCAAAACGCATGGGCCCAAATCTAACGGGATCACCCAAAAGAGAACGGCAAAACAATTTACCGTAGCTGTAAAAACACTTTATTGACAGCATAAAATGTGAATGTTTTTAGTTTTTTAATTTTATAAAATGTTTGGGTAATGTTATTTAACAATTCTTTTTGCCATTAAGTTCTAGGAGAAATATAGAATCGAAATAAATTATAATTGAAAAAAAATTCTCACTTTTAGGTACATTTATTTTCAACTAAACCCAAAAAATTAGTTTTTTTTTGTTAGTAAAAACACTTTATTGACATACTGTAGTTCCGCTTCCGTTCAAATGAGTGAGTGTGTGTGTGTGTGTCTGTGTGTGTGTGTGTTCAGCGCAGGCGCTGTGTGTCGACAATATAAAAAGGATTGAACGTGTGAGTATGTGCGTTTGCGTCTGTGTCTGTGCGAGAGTAAAACAATCATTCAAGTCACCGGGCAGCATCCACATGTTGAGGCGCGTGCAGTTGCCGCTTCTTTCCATCTCCACTTTTTACATATGTGTGAGAGTGTGTGTAGACGCTTACATACATATGCAATATCCCGCTTGATCTAGAGGTGGCATCCCTCCATAAAATGTCTAAACCAGACAGTATTAAATACATTCGACAAATTCGCTGAGTTGGAAAACAGCAGCATCGGCACTGAGCGAATGAACATATGTATGTGTGTGTGTGTGTGCATATATCAGTATGACAGTTGCTTTCAATAGATATCTTATCAACTGGGAACGGGAAGCTAAATTAATTATTTTCGAATTTCGCCAGATTAAATATAGGAATTGAAAGTAAATATAATTAAACACTTCAATTAAAATTAAAGCGATAAACCAAACCAAGAAGTCTGTTCAGTTTTGTCATAGATATGGGAATGGAAAATACTAGAATAACGTTTCTTTTTTTTTTTTTTTTTTTGAAAGTCAATACGCTGTTCTATAAAAATACTCTTGTTTTTTATTTTATATGTTCCTTGTTTGCGTTTTTAAAAAATGATGCTGAAACAATTGTCTTACAATTATAAATATTATTATATGACAGTCTGCCAATCCAATGTTTGCCTTTCGGAATAGAAACTTGGCTAATGCGCGCCTTTTATGACCCTAGCGGCTATTTGAAAGGGTCCACATACAGCTTTTTGCTGGCGTGCTCGAGTCAACGTGTAAATCTGGTGCTGTTATTGCTATTTAGCTTGGCAGCCTTTTACGCGAATATACTAGAAAACGAAAACACAAGTATTGTTTACACATATGCATGGGCAGCAGCACATGTTCAGTTTGCTTTTTTGTTGCATTTTATATTTATTTGTGTGATCAGTTGTTTCGTCCGTTGCGCTTTCAAGTTGAATGTCAACTGTTCTGTTAAATGTGGAGGAGCTGTGAGGAGCAGCTGTGCAGAGTGCTCACATTGCAATAAAAATCGATATACGATTGCGGGCCATTTAACAGTTAACTTCTACTATCTCTCTTTCTCTCATGCAGCTACTGCAGCTGATCTCTATTAGAACAGTTTGCATTAGATGTTTTTTTTTTTTTTTTTTGTTGTTTTGCAGCGACGCTAAATGTTAAATGTTGTAATTCGGGCATAGCTAAATGTGATTATTTTCGTATACTAAATAGCTTGACCGCATTTCAACACCAACTGCAACGCCCACACTTGCACTCACTCAAGCAGCATCAATACCAACAACAACAACAACAATAACTATAGTAAAATCAGCGATTAACGCACGACAACACGAAAGAAATAAGTTTGCTTAAAAATAGTCTTTAAATAAATAAATAAAAGCGTCGCATGCCTTCGACGTTGACAGTTTGTTGCCTAAAATGCAATGATACTATAAATGAATTAAATCTTATAGAATATATATGTATGCACAATACATACATGTGTATGTAAAAATGTTAAATCATGCTCACACTTGAAGAGAATTACAATGTATTCACGTTCTTTTTTTTTCGCCCCGCTTATGTTCACGCATATGTGTGTGTGTATGTGTGTGTGTATTTGCAGTTAAGAACTGAAAGCCGGCTCAGCGGGAGGTAAATTTTGCGTACGCGTGAGATGTGAGGAAATGCCGCGCCGGCAGCAGCCATATCGATGTCGACAACGTCAACGCCAACAGCAGCAGAAACAGCAACAGCAGAAGCAACAATTAAAACAAAAAGTATCGCGACCCCCAGCATAATTAAATAATTGCCAGCAGATCGTCAATCTGATAAATTAAGTTTAAAGTGAGCGCAGTGCGAAAAGCGTCCGAACATTTAATCAATCAAATAATCAGGCTAAAGTTACACACCGAACGCAAACAAACATAATAAACAAAAGTTCTTAAATCGAAAATTGAATAAAGCGTGCAGCAAAAATGAAGCGACGCAATGCGGATTGTGGCAAATTACGTCGCCCAATGAAGCGCAACAAAATCACAGAGGGCATGTATGGCAGGTAAGTGTTAAAATATTAACAAGTTCTAATGTACGTGCGTATTAGAGATGAGTGCGTGTGGCATATTTTCCCATATTTGAACATTTCGTATAAGAGTTAGGCGCGTGTTAGAATTGTCCGATTCCGAAGATTTTACCAACACTGGAAAAACTGTTGCTTTGCAGTGGAGCTAATGTAAATGCATTTCTTAGCAAGCTCTTCGTGTTGATTTGAGCGTGTCACGAAGACAAAATACGACACGCGCCCAACTCTAGTACGCACACTTTCGCACTTGTACACATTAAACAACACATACATGCATATGCATACATGTACATACGTGTACAAACCTATCCAGTTTATCGCGCTGTTACGCATACCACACTCATCGCGTAATATATTATTCTAGATTTGGTTGGTTCACAACAAACTTGTATTAGGCTACGTAAAGTCAAGTTTATTTTGGTTTATCAACATTCTAAAAAATCAAAAATTGGCTCCGATAGGAGCAATGTTGTTAACGAATCGACTAGCAAATGCCCTGTAAAATTACGATTGCTTACAAATAAAAGAGCCGAATGAATTTTACACATCGAATATTAACTAAAAAAAAAAACGCAAATTGATTAAAAAAGGACAAAGTTGAAATAGTTAAAAAATAAAACTAAAAACTTGCAGAATTAAGAAAATTAAAGGGTTTGGACCGTGCGAATTCAGTTAAAACTCACAGCTCATAATATTATTTAATTATTTGGTTAATGGATTCTTCGGGGTATTCCTCTGCTTCTGGTTTTATTACGTATTTATTTGTTTGTTTACATTCTGATTTTACATGTTTCTTTGTTTCATTATGCATGCATGTAATGCATATATATATATATATATATATATATTCGATGCTGTTTGTAGCCGCGAGCCAATTGAGTTAGATAATTAATTCAGTGATTTGCCTGATGTTGATGTCAAATGTGTTTGAAGGTCTTAATTGAGCGTGAAAATTCGGTTTGATCAAGTTATTGATGGATTAATCAAGTGTTAATCAAAATATCTATGTATTTTGTGTTCGTGAGCTTTGATTCAAATATCTAGCTTTGAGTTTTTCAAATAAGAATACTGTCTAATCGAATTTTTCTGATTTTTTTTTTTTTTGCAGCACAACTGTTTTATACATGAAATTTCTCATACTTTGGGCCATTGTGATGGTGGCCGATTTTATGTTCATGTTCCGATTTGAATTCCTGTGGCCTTTCTGGCTGCTGCTCCGCTCCGTGCATGATTCCTTCAAGTACAAGGGACTGGTAAATGAATTGCTTGTGCGGCTTTGCAAAACTTTATAATATTAATTTGGTTTTACATTGACTTGCTGCAGGCATTTTCTGTGCTTTTTGTGTGCATTGCAATAACATCGGATCTGGTGTGTTTGTTCTTCATACCCGTACATTGGCTGCTTTTTGCAGCCAGCACATACGTCTGGGTGCAGTACGTTTGGCATACAGGTGCGTTAAATAATAATATTGTTTTTGTTTAAATATTCGCTATGTTATCAACTTGTTGCAGATAAGGGCATTTGTTTGCCGACTATAATACTCTGGATGTTGTTTGTCTATCTGGAGGTGGGCATACGATGGAAAGACAGTCGACATATGCCGCATTTAGATCTATGCCGACCTTTTGCAGCGCATTGGTGAGTATCGAGCGAGTGATGCAGTTTCCCCTTTTGCTTAAGCTGAACGCCTGTCTTTTCTTTAGCATTGGCTATCCGGTGGTAACGCTCGGGTTTGGCTTTAAAAGCTACGTAGGCTATCGTATGCGCCAGCGCAAGCAGCGCGAAGTGGCAAAAGAGAATGAGTTCTATATGCAGCTACTGCAGCAGGCGCTGCCTGCCGAGGAGGCTACCGAAGAGGCACAGATAGCAGGTGCCACAGTTGTGAGCGCTGCAGCCAACAGTGCAGTCGTTGTGCCCAATGGCACCGGAGGGGCGCCGGCAGCGCTGACCACATCGTCCACATCCCAGGCGAATGGTATTTTGGCATCTGCAGCACAAGCACAAAATCATCACGATCATCATCATGGCGGCGGCGCCGGCAGCAGTGGCAGCAATAATAATCATCATCATCATCATCACCATAACAACAACAACAACAATAACAACAACAGCAGCAGCAGTCATCACACCAAGGATAACAGTACCAGCGACAGCAGCACAATGACTGCAGCAACGGCATCAGCAATAGCCGCTGCAGCAGCTTCCTCATCATCGCCAGCATCTCCGTCATCGTCCACTAACACATCGGCCTCGGCAACAGCCAGGCAATCAAATGCAGCAACATTAGCAGCAGCGACAACAACAGGTGCAGCATTTATTAGCATTACTTTCGATAGCTTAACGCTTCCAATATTCGTAAAACATTCCAAAATTTGTACGGCTTATCCATATGCCTTTAATCGTGTATGTATACATTCATATATACGTATTTATGCCGTGTTATCAACAATAACAAAACTCCTGGCAACCACATGGCCATGGTGCCTATTTCCGTGTAAATATAGACACAGGAAAAAAATTGCTGAAAATCAATAATATTCTATTTATAAGTCAATGTTTTTGCATCTATGCTTGCAGCAACCTCAAATGGTCATGCTGGCGGTGGCTCAAGGAATCATCGGCGTAGCATGGACAAGGAAAAGCATCGCAACAAAGGCGATGCAGCCGACAATGAGCACAACAATAGCACGCGGCATGGCGGAAAGAATAGCAACAGCAACAGCTATCAGCAAGTGGATGGCAATGCAACCACATCAAGTAATAAGGAGAAGTCAGACTGGGATAGTAGCAATAGCAACTATCAACAACAACAACAACAACAACAGCAACAACAACAGCAGCAGCAACAGGGGGCAAAGGACAAACAGGGTGCATTGAACAAAAAGAAAACGCTTTATTCGAAGCAAATTGATATCGCCCCCTTGCTTGCAGACAAAAAGACGCACAATGCTGTCAGCAACGGCAACGTCCTGCAGTTCGAGACAGATGAGGCAGCGGCCGCTGCGGAACCAGTGCCTCAAGTAGAGAAGGCGCCGAAAGGTAAGTGCCCTAAATTGAATATACTAAGTGATTGGCCAAGGTTTTATAAAACTCTCTCTCTCACCCTCTTGTCCAGCAGGCCGCCGCAATCGCGGTAAGAAGGACAACTCAGCCAAAGACAATCATAGCCAGCAGCAGTCGCAGCATAAAGAGACTGCAGCTGCTGCCGCACCTGCTGCAGTAACTAATACCAGTAATAACAACAATAACAGCAGCAACAACAACAACAACAATGACGCCAGCTCCGTATCGTCGTCGGCCAGCTCAACATCGAGCAATGCAACCGCTGCCGCCATATCGCACATGGCCAGCAAAGTGGTATCCAAGATATGCGAAACGTGTCTCAAGCTGGAGGCCGACGTTAAGAAATATCGCGCCGAAATAAGCCATATGAAGCAAATCGAAAACGAACTGCGCCAAAAGCTTGACGTGAATCTGACCAGCAAGTCCAGTTTGCAGGCCAAGCAAAAGGAGTGCGATGAGCTTGAGAAGCGCATACAGGAGCTCAACAATGCACGCCATGCCGATATGCTCAGTCTGCAGACTGTGGAGCGGCGTCTCAACGAGGAGCGCCGCCAGAAGCAATCCCTTGACGCTCAGCTAGCTAACGAGAAAAAAGCACGCAAGGCCGCCGAGGAGAAGGCTGCACGTCCTGAGTGCAGCGTCCAATGCAAGCAGCGTCGCCAGCAAATGGACGAGGAGCTGAAGCGAGTGCGCAGCGATCTCAAACAGACCGAGGAAGCTAAGCAGATGGCCGTCGATCACGGCCGGAAGTTCGAGCAAGAGGTTAGTTGGACCAGCGGGCTCTTTGTTTCATAGACTGCCATAATTAAGCTCCATTTTCCTTACAGTATCGTATGTTGGAAGTTAAGGTACATAATCGCGAGTCCACGCAGGCGGATGCTGAAATGCTAATGAATGCACTGGCTTCCATGCAAGAAAAGAACTCCACGCTGGAAAAGAATCTATCCGCAGAGACGAGAGTTAAGCTGGACTTATTCTCGGCTCTGGGCGCGGCCAAGCGCCAGCTAGAAATATCTGACAGTATGTTTTTGTCTTGGCAAAGAGCTCAGAATGATTGTAATAAACAACTATTTCTTGCTTCCAGGTCATCGTCGGTCCAAGGAGGATGAGGTCATTGATCTCAAGGCCAAGATAGCACAGCTGCTGGCTGTTATGCCGGATACACTGTGTCTGAACACGGGAGCACATGGTCCCGGCGGAAGTATGCTGCGCATGAACGACACACCTCCGCTACAATCGGGCGGACCTGGCCCGTCCTCACCCATGCTCAGCCTAAGCGTTGCGCAAGAGTATCAACAGCATCAGCAGCACCAGCAACATCAACAGCACCAGCAACATCAACAGCAACATCAACAGCAACAGCATCAACACCAGCAACAGCAGCACCAACACCAACAGCAGCAGCACCAACACCAACAGCACCAACACCAGCAGCAGCAACAGGTTGTGCCCGTCTCTCAACAGCAGATGGTGCCCGTAAGTGTGGCAGCCGCGCTACATGTGGTTGCCGGTAATGTGGTTAACGGCGGTGGAGGCGGCGGTCTATCGACGCTGGATCCCAACGCTAGTGTCTATACGCCCAAGACAGGCAACATGATGGTGGTGCCGCCCGTTGGCATGAATCCCAATGGTGCGGATGCCTGACGCCAGCAGCACCAACAGCAATCATCTGCGTCATCCTCGCATCAGCTAATGAGACGACAAGTTTGAGATTATTATACTTTATATGAAAAGCAACAGAAAACAGCAACCGATTGATTTAGACTACAGTAGTCGAACAGAAGGCGAATGGATCAGTTTGCATATGATATAATGAATGTCCGTACTAAGCATAAGCAGTTTCCTTTTACACCCCACAACTACAACAGTATCACACAGTACTACACGTTTTTCAATTTCCATAACCACCTTTGAAACTATCGCAAAACACTTCAAATCACACAACCGATACCGAGATACCAGTTAGTTGTTTTGTTTTCCCAAAAATGTCTTAAGAATGCGCTCAATATTTTTTCTCCCAAATACGCAATCAATTGAAGTTTTGTAATTGACTCCAACCAATATGGCAAAAAACGTCATTCCACCTGCTGAAAACGTTATCAAAACTTATTTCAAATCAATGGCAATCGTTTTTATCAATTGCCAACTAAGAACGCTAATGACTTGGTATCCGGTTTGTCAACTTTTAATCCAACCAAGATCCGCTCATGGAATCACATACAAAATACACATTTAGCAGACTCGTTGCGCGAGTTTTTGATCGATTTGATTTGAAACATTTGAAAAAATAATAAGAATGAAAAAACGCAAATGTGAATTTGTATTTTTAATTTGAAATGCAAAAAGAAGCGAAATGAAGTGAAAGATAAAAAGATCTGTTTACTACTTATTTACAAAACGCTGTGAGAGTTGACCAACTTTAGTGATGGCCTTTGAATTTGGCGTAATTTTTGTTTTTGCCAAATTTTCTGCCCCTTTTCAATGGAATTTTTGAAGTCTGCGCCCTTGATTTATTATCTCATTAAATTATTTTTGTTATAAACTTTAATTGTACGCCTATTATGTAGACTTAACTATTTTGAAAAGCAAAACAAAAAAAAAAAAAACCAACCAAGTTTCTTTTTAAGTTTTAATTTATTTGTTGCTCTTCCTATAAACAAAATAAGCAAGTTGAAAATGCTTGAATTTAATTGCGAAGAAAACGAAAAACGACGACTATTTTGTTTAATAAAAAACCATTTCACTGCGTGAAGCTAGTACTTATTTGTATTCTTTTTCTTATTATGTTATTCTTACAATCTGTTTGTAATTTATGCCTAATATCTTAAGTTAGGATCTACGAAAATGCAGCTATTTATCAATACTGCCTTGGAGCTTATTTATAATTTATCAAATAACAAAATTAATTATAGTTTAATTGAATACTGTTTTACAAGATATTGGATATGACTAGTTGAGTTTATGGCATATCTGGCTTATAAGAGCAGGATTGGAATTTTAAATGTTATATTCTTTATTCCTAGTCATTTCAAGTAGTTGATAGAATGAAATCCAAATCGGAAATATTGAAACGGGATGAAGATATTCAATTTAAGACTAATTATCGTAAAATACTTTCCCTCTTATTGTGTTAGCACACCTCAAAAGGCAGCTACAGTTGAAAGTGATCTCCAGTCAGTCAGTCGGAATAACTTAGTAGCCCACACGCTGTGTGTTGGTTTCAAACCAATCCCAAACCAAAACCCAGTACAAGTCCAGTCGACAAGGGAATCCATATCCAATATTCACAATGATCTATTATTTGCTGCAGGCTGTTTCGACTGCTATTTTTAGCACAGTGGCCACCATTTGGCTGATCGAGGGTAAGTCCGTCGTGGCATAGACACATTTTCAATTTGATGACCGCGCATCCCGCAGAGACTCTGATCAATCTGATGATGGCCAGCTTTTTGTTTGTGCTGCGCATTGCCTGCCATCCGCTGATGCTAGTACCAATGCTGGCGGGCAGCTATTATGTGGTTCGCAAGGTGTGGCTGCGACGTCGACAACCCGTCGATGGTGATACTGTTCCGGGGCTACGCAGTCTGAGCCGTACTCCGCGCATCGGCTCGTATCGTAGCATGGGCAGCCTTTCGGCACGCAGCAATGATAGCTGCGATTACGATGACGAAGAGGTTCGCAGGTTGCAGTGCTCTTAGCTTTTTAATCGATTCATGTTTTGTTTTAAATTAATGAAGTATTTGTGTAACTTGGTTTGATTCGCAGGATTTACTACTCTCTCAAATGCAGACACAAACTATACGAACATTTATGTATACGATTGTACTTAAACTAATACAGAGACATCTCTCTCTGCTGCGCCCCCCAGACGATGTTTTTTTTTTTTTGAGTTTATGGTTTTTGCAAGGATGAGGTGTCCATTTTGGATAGCAGATCTCCCACCTTCACCAGCATGGCATTGTTCTGTTGCTCACCGGCGGCAGGCGAGCTGCTATTGCTGCTGCTGATCATGCCAGCCAAGTGATGTATGTACTTGTCCACATTGTCCACGTTGAGTCCGCCGGGGTGCACTGGTGGCAGCGTAATGCCACCCAAGGTGGCCACAATCTTCTGTCGCAGATTCTTAATATATGCCGATAAGCGCGCGTTCTCATCCTTCAGCTCGGACACCTCGCCCATGACTTTGGCGTGTCCGGCTTTGGTGTTGTCTACATGCTGTTCCAGCACTGCATTCTGCTGCTCCAGATCCGTTTTGGCCTTGCGCAACAGACGCAGCTCATTCTCTGTGCTCCGATTGTGCTCAATGAACTCGTTCGTATAAATGGGTATCTCGCCCGCCGCACATGGACGCGGCGGACCGCATGAGCTAAATGCCGGCGGTGCTGGTGGTGATGGTGTTGGCGTACGCTTCACTTGGGCCAGGGGTATATCGTCCGGATCTGGTGGTGTTGGTGTGCTTTGCTGTTTGTTTACTGTGCTCTTCACCATCGATTTCTTTGGGCCGGCTGCATCCATGCCGCTGCTGCTGCTGCTGTGGTTAGTTGCCTTCTCCTTCGATGTGCTGGCATTTTTGTTGTCGAACGCCTTCTTCGCCTTGGCCAATTCGGTTGCCACAATTTCGGGGTGCTCCTTCAGGAACTTGTGCATTTGTTCCTGGTATCTGTAAATTTTGACAAAACAATGTATGAGTGTTGGATGTGGAATGAGAATATTAAAGCCCAGTTGCCCGCTCCACGTACAGCGCCTTGTCCTTGGCTGCCGCTTCCATGTACGGCGCCTTGCGATCTTCGGTCAGCTGGTGCCACTCCTCGCCAATCATTTTGGTGTGCTCCAGTGCGGTGCGGTTCGGATGCTCGCGACGCAGCTGCTCCCTGCGGTCGTTCATAAACCTCACATATGAATTCAGCGGCATTTTCGGCGCTCCAGCCACATTGATTCTGCGCTGCGTTAGCTTCTTCAGCTCTGTATCCAGATCACTGCCGGCAACTGGACTCCTCCCCTTTGGTTTAGTCTTTTTTTTAGTCACTTTGCTGCCGGTTGGCGGACTCACATCGTTTTCCTCCTCTGCGTTCACGGACTTGGATGCAGCCGGCAGCTCAACCGGGGCGTCGGCGCTTTCGTTTGCAGTTGCCTCAACGCTATTGTTTTCCTGTTTGTTATCCATATTTGTGGCACAATTTTATAAAAATAAGTTTTTAGGGGTAACTGGACTCCGTTTCTTTCAAGTTGCTGTGCCTTGAATTTGCATTTGTTTATGTTTTATCGATTAATTTTAATTTGCAACTTTGATTAAAACCGTTGGCTTATATATTTTTGAATTAGTTTTACGTTTATAGTTATTACAGCTATGGGAAATTGTTATAAAATGCTTGCCCTTTTCTTTTTGGAGTTTTTAAAGAGTTGTGTTTTTGTGCAAAAAACCAAAAACGTTAATTGCTCTTCCTTCCCCTTGCAACATATGTTTAATGTTTTTCTTATGTTATACAAAAAAATCTGTTATACAACAGCTGTTAATAACAGGGCTGCACAACGACCTTTTCATTTTCGAAAATATTGTTTGGTTCCAGATGCAACACTGTCATTGCGAATGGGTGACAGCTCTGTGCTCACGTACGTCTACGTCTACAGCGTGACGTCAATAAAAAGTGGCGCGATGCAGATTATCGACCAACTGTATGATTTCATAACTGCGCACTTTATTAAATAAGGTCTGATTCAAATAACCGCACATGGAGCATTATTTAGGTCACAATAATAAGAATGAGGAAATGTACATAATAGTTGATAAACCAGAATTTCCGCATGATCCAGACTTTATTTAATGATATGTGATTATCATTATTACTGACCGCCTCAAAGGTCTCTTTGTTGTTGTAATAGAAAAAATGATAACGACAAAATGTGCAGCTGTCCATATATAGGAGGCACAATAGTCGTAGGGCTTGTGGGAAATAAAAGCATATGTTCTTTCCGTTGTGGTCTTTATATATATTTTGAATATTCATATACATGTGAATGTGGTCTGCATGTTTTTGGATAATTCTTTGAGCACATTGAAGTATTACAATTACAAAAATATTAGCCTATGTGAATGACAGGTGTTAAATATAAATAGAAACTTACAAATTAGCTTAGCAACTACTATTTTTTAGTTGAATATCATATAAAGCCTTCGATGACAAATTCTGTACAGAGATGGAAAAACTTTGGTTTTCCCACTTTTCAACAATTACAACTGCGTTTACTACGAGCTAAAGCACTTAAAATGAGGGCGGCCGGCCAGAATTTAAACATAAACTAACAAAGTTAAGAGAGAGTGAGAGAGAATTGGATGATCCAACAGGTTTTTCAATTTGAAAAATTAACATTTACGAAGCCTCTCTGAAGTTCATGTGAACCTCTCATATTAAACTGGGGAACAGCTCATCGAAATTGCTCTCCCAGGGGAAATCGTCATCTTCTGTGGGCAGGGCAATATCGTTGTCCAAGTGGGACAGAGTCGTGGATGCTGGTGAGCCCATAACCGACTCGTAGCCATGATCCGAAGTGACCGAATGCATTGAGCGGGCGGGCGATTTGCCCAGCGGTGAGATGGCCTTAATGCGCGGGCTAAGGAACTTCTCAATGGGCTCGAAATTTAGATGGCTGGTCGCTTCATCGTCCGAGTCGTCGGTGGCGTTTATCACGTTGAGGTAAACCTGCGAAGGCGACGTTGCTGGCGGCGGGCACTTCATGATAACATCTGTAGAGTCCTCGCCAGCACTGACGCCCTCGCCGTAGATTTCCTCGACTGCCTCGTTCACAGGCACCGCATCGCCGTCCATGACAATTGTGATGGAGTTGGTTTTAGCATCGTAGGTGCCGTACACCGTGTCGGGTGTGGCGCTTTGCAGGAACGCAGCTGCTGAAATTGTTGTCGTTGTTGGTATCGTTGTGGCTGTAGCTTTTGTTTGTCGGTTTCCATTTATTTGTGACACCTGCATACACGGGCTGTTGTTGATGTCGGTGTTGTTTTTAGTAGGTGTGGGTGTGCATATTATAAAGGGATGCGTTTTGGTGTCATTGCTTAAGCCATCAGCTCTATGCCTGTCGGATTCCAAGCACTCTGCTGTGGTCCCCACCATTGGTCCAGGCAATCGCTCTGGCTGGCCTGCATCTTTGGGAGCAGCTTCGTCGCATGTGCCACTGCCTGTTTCCAGGTCTGCTGTGATATCTGCGAGGAGACTTTCGGCCAGCTCTTCGAGGCGTCGCGCATCGAACTCCTCATCGTCGACGAGCAGCATGTCTTGTATAGAAGGCAGAGCGCCACAATTCTCCAGAGAGAGGCCGTTGTGTTGCTCTGCTTCAGCTGCTGTTGCAACCTCTTCGAGGTCAAGGCATGCGCTGACGACTGTGTGTCCACTTGTGTACCCTGCTGCAGAGGGTCAGCATTGGATGCTGCAGATCCAGTGAGTGTGGACACACAGCCCTCAGCGTTTGCATTGACGCTAGCTGTGTTGCTGTTGCTGTGCTTTTTGGCAAGCTGTTTCATTTCGGCAAGTTCCTGTCGCAATACCTCCATTTCCGAGTCGAGCTTCTGATTCTTGGCTAGCAATGATTCGTTAATGCTCTGTAAGCTCTCGCATTTGTTTTGCAGTATTTCCGTTTTCTCAGTTAGTTCCTTGATTTCATATTCCATTTCCTCCATGCGCGCCTTCTTGCGGTCCCGGCTGGTTTGTGCGGCCACGCGATTCTTCAGTTTCCTAAGGAACAAACACAAATACGCAATAAGTAAATGGCTAGCCTGCTTGGCGCCACAACTTACTTTCTCTGAACTTTCTCCTCCCAGGACAGGTGATCCAGTCGACGCTTTTTGGCCTTCGTGGGCGCAGCCGCATTCGAAGCCATTGACATTGACTCCTCATCTGCCACACTATTGGATGAGGATGCGTAGCCCGAGCTGGACGGCGAAGAGCCACCCTTGAGCAGCACCGCGGTTGCTGACAGGGGCGCTGGTCGCAGCTTGGGCAACGCACTCAGATTCAAGTTGGTGCCAAGCGGCACACACTTGGATAAAAGCACTCCGTTTACAGGTGCCATTTGGTTTATGCGCGCGTGTGTGTGTGTGTGTGTTGTTATTGTTGCAATTAATTATCGATCGAGCGTGCAAGACTTTTGCAAAAATTAAAATTTCATTTTGTGGAGCTCTTTATTTCCGTGATATATGCGCGAGCACTGAATTTTATCTGATTTTCTTTAACTTAAACCATTGGAAGCGCTGCTTCCACTTTTGCTGCTTCGGCTGCGTTTTTCATATACTTTGTGGCTTTTGATTTCTTCATTGCCTCTGTGATGTTTACCCAGGTCTAGTCAACCTAATCTCACGCAATTTCCTCAATCACCTTGTAATTCTGCGCAGCAAAGTCTGATTCAAGATGTCGTGGACTTTACTGAATGGGTGTGCATAAAAAGCTGACGTGGCTTTTTCTGACTGGTCGGGTTCATGAAAAAAAGATGGAAGAAGAAGCGAATGACAAACAAAATGTTATTTAACATAACAGCGTACATAACATTCACATTTACAGAGCTCTTGTTAACAGCCTAGCTCCAGTGTTGGCTTGCTGCGTTACTTACTGTACTTACCTACTGGCTACCGTAAGAGTAGGTTTGCTTGGATAACGTTTTATTGAATTTTGTGAAATGCGCATTATTCAAAAATAAAAATTGTAAGATGAGAATCCAAATTACGACGAATTAGATTATTAAATAAATAAGTAATTAAGTGTAACATTATTAAAAATAATTTTTTACAAGCATATACTTTTAATATTAAGTTCACGAACATTCAATTTTTATATCATTTACAATATACCTTAATAAATTAGACTCCATGCACTTATGGCATCGGGTTGCGTTCCTTTTTCTTTTCCTTATCGTTAGAAGCGAGCTCCTCCTTGAGTACTTCAGCGACATCATAAATAGTGGTTTTGTGCTGTTTAAATAATATTTTAAAAATGTATTATTGAATTCGAACAAGCATACCTTTAGTTGATTTATATAGAACACATAGGGTACATTTTCCGTAATTGGGTCTATTGCCACTCGCCACATAGCCTTCATTTCATCATCGTTAAATTGTTCTCCTTCCTCTTTCATTAACTTTCCAAAGTACTCTTTTGTAAGAAATCGTTTGTTTTCTGGATCCAACACCTCGAATGCAGCCAAAATTTGTTCCGCGCTTGCTGGTTCCATTCTGTGTGTTACATATATGGCCATAAAAATAATATACGTATTAAAATAGATTATATTTTCGTTTACTTTCGATCCATAAGCAAAGGAGAAAGGTGTGCCATAAACTTTTGCAAATGCGTTTCTCCAGGGTTCTCTGCAGACTCAGTGGCTGCAATAACTTGATTGACTTCCTTTTCTGTTGGTACACAACCCAAAAACCTAAGCACATTTCCCACATTTCGCGTGTCAATATACTTATCGCCGTGAATGTCGAAAATGCAGAATGCCTCGGAGATTCGAACCTCAAGCTCATTGGCAAGTGGTACTGGTAACAACCGTTGGTTACTCAGCCAGGCATTACAATTTTAAACTGCAACTTACTTGCGATTTCCATATTTACGGTAAATTTGAGTTTTATTAATTTTTTTTTTTTTTTTTATTTTATAATTGGTAACAAATAATTTTGGAAATAAACATAAGTGAATTTTTAGAAATAGTTTCAAGAAAGTTTCTTGCACTTATACATTTTGTTGTAATTAAAAATGTTTAATTCTACATGCTTGCTGTGTTTGTCGTAATTTATTTTAACAGACAGTACATTTAAAAATAAAAACATTTCTATCGCTGTGAATTGCCAACTCGTTGTGAATAGACATCGATAAATGCGCTCACTGCCATTATATCGATATGTTGAAAGTATCAAATGCATCTATTTCGTGCGTGAGTGATTGTTTAATTGCTAATGCCGCTGTGGCTGTTTTAAATTTTTAAAAACAACATTTCTTAGGTATAATAAATCTATTAAAAAGTATTGTACGTAACGATGCGATAATCGTGTTGCATTTCTCTACTCCGGCGTTTATTCCATAAATGCGCTTTGAGTTATTTGTTTTGTGATTTTTTGTTAGTGGTTGTGTGTGTGTGTTTGTGTTTTGTGTGAGCAACAGGTATACGCTCAACGAGTATCGATATTATATCAAGTAACATATCGCTTAGTTGTAGTTGAGATTCCGTTTGATTCGGTTGAGCCGCGCGTGTTTACTCTCGACATTTTCCAGCGGGAAAACATAATTTGCAGTGTAATGCTAAATACGCATAGCTATTAAAAATACATTTAACACTTATTACAAAATTATACAGAAGTGAATTGCTCGCAACTAGTTTTTCCCAAAACCACAAACTGCGGCGCAGGTGCAACCCGTTTTCGAGAGGTATCAAAGCAATAACAAGTTCAAACATATCCATAATATCACCTTACACAAGCTGCGCGCGCGCGTGCGTTAGTGTGTGTGTGTGTATGTGTATCTGTGACAGTGTGTGAGTGTCGCGCAATTTGGAAAACGCGTTTGCGGTTTTTCATGCTCCGAAATGGAAAGTGGCTGCCAGCTCCAGCTCCTGCGTTTGTTGTGATCGCCGATCAATAAACACACACAAATCGAAGCAAACAAAGAGGTGCGAAAAATGAAAGTGTTTGTTTTTTTTTCTGTTTCTGTTTCTGTTATTATTGTTGTCCACAACACAACAAAAGTGGAAATTGTTTACCTTGTGTCAATTTGACCACATTCCACATATGAGCGCGTATGATAGAAAGTAGATGAAATATGTAATGGGAAAACTGGTCTGCCATACTCATTTTTTTTTCGCTTTACCATGAACTTGAGTTTTTCTCATTAATATACGAATATGCAGACACACACAAACACGATAATTGCGGGAAACTTAAACTAAATACACACACAAAGCATTAAGCCAACTGCTCACTTTATCATATTCATAGTCTGAGTTGACGGCCGCCGTTAATTGCTCTATAAATTCAGCGGCACCTCAGCGCATCCAGCCAGGTTTGTCCACATAAATGCCTAATGTGGTTTTAGCAAGGCAAAAGTAAAAGACGGTGAATTTCACCCGTGAAGTGAAATTATTGTTGCCGCTACGTGCACTTTTCGCCTTTTTGTTTTTTAGCGACAGGTGGCAGCAGCTTGCAACGTGCAGCGTGCAACGTGCGACATGCAACGCCAGCGATCCAAATAGAGAGCGTGCCGACTCTTGACCGCAGGCCGCGTTGCGTCGCGTCGCGTCTCGCGGCGTCAGCGACTCGTTTTCTCAGTGCATTGTTGTTGGTTCTCCTGCGTTTGCGTCTGCGTCCCGCAGCAAGTGCAGATGCCAACAATACCAATACACATTCAACTATATACAGTGCATGCATGCATGTGTGTGTGTGTGTGCATGTGTCCGTGCTTATGTGGGGGTTACCTTTGCCTCTTGTTCTTGTTGTTGTTGTTGCTTGTGGCATCATGTCTGACTGGTCGATCTGGTGGCATGGTCTGAAAACTCGTTTCTTGCCTTTGTTGTTGCTGTTGTTGCTGCTGCTGCTGGCATTCTTTGCTGGTGATTGTTGCCGCAGCTCCCTATATAGAGGACTGTGTTGTGTTCTGTGCCTCTTAATTTTTGAAGTGTTTTTTTTTTCTGTTTTTCTTTTTATTATTGGAGTAAATTTTTCGCTTGAGGAATTTAATGCTATCGCCGTGCTTGCTGCCCCTTTTTTTCGCACAGTTAATTTTCTTTTTTTTTTTTTTTCAACTTAAACCCGCATCTGAATTCATAATTTTTTGCATGAGTCAACATTTTGGATTTTCGAGCGAAATTCCATTTGTGTGCAGCTTTTTATACCCTGAACCTATTAAAAATGGGTATAAGGGTATATTGTATTTGTGCAAAATCCAAATGTATGTAACAGGCAGAAGGAAGCATCTCCGACCCCATAATGTATATATATTCTTGATCAGCATCAATAGCCGAGTCGATCTAGCCATGTCCGTCTGTCCGTCCGTCCGTCCGTCCGTATGTATGAACGCAAGGATCTCAGAACATATAAGAGCTATAGACTTGAAATTTTAGAAGTAGGTTACATCACGTTTTTTTTCAAAATCAAGGTCGAATCGAATCTTTTTCAATGATTTTTTTTTAATATCTCGGGTTAATAATGTCTGATTTTAAAATGTTATACCTTTTTGAATGCGTACGGATCCCTAACATCAATTGGCATTCAAGCAAATTAATCATCAATGGGTTGGAAAATGTTGTTTAAAAAAAACCGATTCGTTAGTAAATTCAACCTTTTTGATGTATTTTTGGAATATTTCCCTCAAATAATGTCAGATTTTGCAATTTCATACCATTTTTGACTCGCAAGGATCAGTTCTAACTATTGGCATCAAAAAAAGGAAATCCAAAATTTTGAACCAAATCGACAAAATGGCAAGGTTATACATCACGTTTTTTTTCAAAATCGAGGTCGGTGCGAAAATCGAATCTTTTTCGATGATTTTTTTAATATCTCGGGAAGGTCCGTAGAATCCGCCAAGATCGACGGCGAAGTTATGTCGCTTTGAAACGTCATATCTCCATGATTCTTTAGATCGGCGGAGATATGACGTTTCAAAGCGACATAACTTCGCCGTTGATCATGACCAGATTATGTCGTGAATATCGTGTCCACAACTACACGAACTTTTTTGGAAAACTTTAAATGGTCATATCTCGGCCAAATAAAGCCCGATTACGGTCAAGAGGGAAGGGCTACTCGGGGCCAAGATCAACGGCGAAGTTATGTCGCTTTGAAACGTCATATCTCCATGATTTTTTAGATCGGCGGAGATATGACGTTTCAAAGCGACATAACTTCGCCGTTGATCATGGCGAGATTATGACGTGAATATCGTGTCCTCAACTACACGAACTTTTTTGGAAAACTTTAAATGGTCATATCTCGGCCAAATAAAGCCCGATTTCGGTCAAAAAGGGAAGGGCTACTCGGGGAGGTCCGTAGAATCCGCCTAGATCGACGGCGAAGTTATGTCGCTTTGAAACGTCATATCTCCGCCGCTCTAAAAAAATCTTGGAGATATGACGTTTCAATGCGACATAACTTCGCCGTTAATCTTGCCGATCTAAAAAATCATGGAGATATGACGTTTCAAAGCGACATAACTTCGCCGTCGATCTAGGCGGATTCTACGGACCTCCCCGAGATTATGTCGTGAATATCGTGTCCACAACTACACGAACTTTTTTGGAAAACTTTAAATGGTCATATCTCGGCCAAATAAAGCCCGATTTCGGTCAAAAAGGGAAGGGCTACTCGGGAAGGTCCATAGAAACCGCCAAGATCAACGGCGAAGTTATGTCGCTTTGAAATAATGTCCGATTTTGCAATTGCATACCATTTATGACTCGTAAGGATCAGTTCTAACGATTGGCATCAAAAAAAGGAATTCCAAAATTTTGACCCAAATCGACAAAATGGCAAGGTTATACATCGTTTTTTTTCAAAATCGAGGTCGGTGCGAAAATCGAATCTTTTTCGATGATTTTTTTAATATCTCTGGTAATATCTCCGCGGGGAGATATGACGTACCAAAACGACATAACTCCCCGCGGAGATATGACGTTCCAAAACGACATAACTCCCCGCGAAGATATGACGTTCCAAAACGACATAACTCCCCGCGGAGATATGACCTTCAGACCTTCACGTTTTTTTTTCAAATTAGAGGTCGGTGCTAAAATCGAAACTTGATTATACCCTGATCCCATTAAAAATGGGTATTAGGGTATATTGTATTTGTGCAAAATCCAAATGTATGTAACAGGCAGAAGGATACATCTCCGACTCCATAAAGTAAATATATAAAGTATATATATATGCCTGCGCAGATCGAGTTTGGTTCCGATAATCGATAACTTACTCCGTTTCTAAGCAATCGATAAAAATCGATATCGATATCTTGTTTTTGGGTAATTTTGGTAAATAATAGGAGCTAGAGTCCCCAAACTTAACATTTAGCTTCTAAAAAAGAATACATATATGCATTTGATGTTGGAAGAAGAGGGTTCAGGGTATCCCCTTGTCGGGAGCTCCCGACTAGAACCTCTTACTTGTTTTTATTTGTTGGGTTTATGCAAGACAATCAACGTGTAAACGTTGAGTTACATTTAAATATCTTAAAGCTGGGACTTAACTAAGAACTCATCTCTACCAAAGCGGAAAGAAAACAGTTACAAACGCTACTCCCATTAAAATAGGTAAAAACCTTATGACTAAGTTCTCCAAGTGCAAGCGGGAAATAAATGAGTGCGTCGTAGAGCTTAAATCCAATTTGCCATAAAGATGTACACATGTGTATATGCTTTGTTTGAGTTCTAGATTTCGTTTTAAAACTTTTCTTTCATGCACAATAAAGTTTTCCAATACGGCCTACTCATATGCATATAGACTTTATGCAGCAACAAATTTCATCAAATTACTTTCAACTTCCTAAAGCTTCTCGCGCCTTCAACTTGGAGACCTGTTTTCAAATAAATGGACACGCAGATAAATCTATTTAATATAGATTTGATCGACTTTCTTATCAGAAATATATATATATTTAATCTTTAGAAATATTCGAAGCTTTTTAGAGATGGAGTTGCAGAAATTGGAAATATCGGCTCTCGTATGGATAATAATAGTACCTCACTTGTTAAATAGCTCCGCTCCGTCCACAATTTGGATAGTCTTATTGTGTGTTAAATTATGTATTATTAAAACTTATACAGAGAGGCTAATATGTATTTAGACAGCCTGGAGCTGGCTATTGGGTGGGTTCTTTGCGGACATGTTCCACTAAAAGAATCTTACTTTGCTTTAGCTCCAATATCAATTTGAGTTCTTCCCTCTCGACAATCTTCTCCTGTATCGTCTAGGACTTAGGAAATAAAAGTAAAATATATAATAAATATAAATATAGTAAAATATATGTTTTGTGTAAATTAAATGTTTTGTAAAATTGAATTTAATTTTGTATATTGTAATGCAGTTCTCTGGGAATGGGCACGGGGTGTCTTTGTCACATTTGCAACTATTTATATGATTTCTATTTGGTTTTAGGCATTTCGCAGTTTAAAGCAACGCTTTCACAATGCACAACAAAAAATGCGATGATGATGTTGTCAAATGTGCTTGATGAATGCCCAATGACAAAGCGAACACGAGATAATAATTAGCAGCAGCAGCTAGACAAAGCATATCGTAAATTATACGAATTAAATGAAAAAATAAAAATAAACGAATGAATGGCAACAAAAGTTATTCCGAGATGAAACGCTTCTAATGCTCGCAATGGCAAATAGATATACCATAATTGCGGCTTGAGTTAGAGCTGAGTAACAAACAAGTTTATTTTCGACAAGATCGTGCAGAAGATGCCAATAATCACAGCGACTACAACGGCGACGGGAGCGATGGCGACGGCGGCGGGAGCGGGCACAGGAGCGGGAGCGGGAGCGGGAGCGGTAAGCGGCGCAGCTGCAGCTGGCGCAGCGGCCAAAAGCGGCGCATTGCTGGCAAAGGCAGCAACCTCGACGGCGGCAGCGCCAGCCTCGACTGATTACCTAATGCATCAACACCAACATCAGCAGCAGCAGCAGCAGCATCAACTTTTTAACAGCCATTATTATCAACAGCAGCAGCAACAGTTGGCGCCAGCGTCGGCTGTGCTAAATGCTTCCCACCAGCACTCGCATCCACATCCTGTTGCCAGTTCAGCAGCGGCAACAACAACAGCTGGTGCTGCTGCGTCGAGCGTCGCCTCAACCAGTTTTGCAACATTTAACGGAAACTCGAGTCTAAATTCTAACCTTGCCAACGGAAGTAGCCAGGCCAATCATGCCAAGAAATTCAATTGCAACGACGCCAGCGGCGCAGATCTAGCTGTTGTTGCTGGCAACGGCGACAGCAACAGTTATCCAATGGCTGCTATGCACAAGCCAGCAGCAGCAGCAGCAGCAGCAGCTGGTCCACCTCTGGGCTTGCCGCCACCCGCCATCAAGAAGTCCACGATCACAGCGACGTCCGCATCGCTGCACGCCTCGCGCGAAGATGTCGCCTCCCTGGGCGGCACCTCCTCGCTGAACAGCCAAGTTTCTGGCCAACATCAGTATATTGGCAACGGCGGCGGCGTCAACGGCAACTCCACAAGCGGACGCACTGGAGGCCATCCCAGCAGCATCTTGAAAGGCAGCAAAGGTAAGAGACTACACTCCACTAAATGCCTTATGCTCTTCATCTTACTGCCAGTTCCCTGCCAGACATCTAAAGAAAAAAGTGTGCTCTGCTCGGGAGTGCCTGACTAGGAGATACCCTGGCATGAGGGGTCGTTTATGCTGTTTCTTTAGTTTATTTTAGAATACGATCGGTATTTAGAGTCCGATTTGAAAATCTAGTTTTTATAATTTTCGGACTTAACGTGTTCGTCCGTAGGGATCTCAGAGGGAATCGAATCAGCTTGATCCAGCTAATATATTAGACCCTTTTCTTACCTTATTTGTATAGGTGACGAGTAATACAAGTTAAATATATAATATATATATTTTAAATTCTAAAATCTCTCAAATTTTAAAAGAGTAAGCAACAAAAGTTGTTGAGCATATTCTGGAGGCAGATATTTTTAAACACATTGCGATGTTTCGCCTCTTTTCGTCCGAGCATTAGTTGACTTACGAGCTGGCAGCTTTGAATAAGTGATTAAGATGGGGCAGGGCAAACAGTTCTAGAGGAAATTGAGGTCAGTTTCGCTGTTAATCATGGCAGTGTAAATAGAAAACCACATGCAGACCAAGCTATAGATGGCCCTTGCCGCCCACATGGCCAGCATGAGGGCAGCCACTTCAGTTTCGGGTCCGTTTCGGGTTTGGTTTCGGTTTCGAATGCACTTGCAATACAACGAAATTAGCTGCTGTTCAAAATAAACAAAATACAAAATAAGACTTCAAACTAATTTGCTTTTGGCTTCGGAGAAAAACACATTTGCTGCACAGCGGGCAAAGAGTTCAATTGATTTGCCTGTTTTACGGCTTGTGTTTTGTACTTTTGTTTAAGCAGACACGTGCCAATTGTTTACACCTCATGCTCAACTGGCAAAACTTAAGACAATGGATCAGTTGTAAGTCGAACCCATTTCTCACTTCTGCTTGTGGGTCTTCTCGCTCTACGAGTACTCGGTTCACTTTCAATCGTCTTGGCTGAGTTTGTTTGCTTTGTTCCCTCTGATGGTTGGTTCAAGAGTAAGTTCAACAGCAGTTCACTTCGAAGCTAATAAATTCCATTAACATGTTTAAGAAGTAATTATATACCCATTGGCCAAAGCAGGGTATGATGGTTTGGTAAGAACATATGTGACTGTTCCTACAGAGTATATATATATATAGCATTTGGTCAGGCGAGCTGAATTGATCAAGCTCTCGGTTCCTCTGTCTCTCTCGGCGTATTTCCTCATTTTGCCAATGCCTTGATCTTAGAAGCTGCAAAGCTGAGAACAAAAAAACAATCGGACTATACACACCGAGTGTTTCAAGACTACAAAAAGTGACATAGTAACTGCTAGTCGGGCACTCTCGACTCCCAACTTGTACGGTAATTGAGCATGGAGTAACTCGTGGTCATGCAATGCGACACTCAATAACAATTTCAGTCATGTGTCCTTCATTCGAAACTCTCCGAGTGGCATTTGTTGCACTGTAATGTGAGAGCATATGCCGCTTAATCCACTTGCGAATGTGGCACATGGAACCCACCTGCCATCTAATTTATGTATGTATCTCTCACTGTGCACGTCTTGGGACGCAGCGTAGTAAATAGTAGCCACAGTCACAGCCACATTCATTCATTCATTCATGAAACCCCAAGCCAAACGAGTTGACGCCAAAGCCAAATCGACCCACCTGTCAGGTGTGTGGGGGCTGCTTTAAATTTGATCGGGCGTGTGGGCGTGTGGGCGTGGCCAGCATTAGTCTGTTTATGCACATGATGTGGAAAATTAATATTTATAGTTTAAAGACTCCATTTAACGAGGAGTGGGCAATCAGACCAAATTCCGTAACAAGACCAAAATAGGCCAACAGAAAAACCTAAAACTAAAGTTTGCCAAGCGACATTTCTAAACGGCGAATCATCTGTGGAAGGTAAATGTCTCGCTTGGCTTGGTTTTCAAGCAGGTGTGTGTTTTTGATGATGTATATCCCTTTGTTATGTGCGGGGCGTGTTGAAACTTATGAAACTTATTTATTAGCGCGTTGCTTTCATGCGGTAAAAAGTGTAAGGCTCTTGCTTCTGTTCTGAGAAGACGCAGTTCGTGCCCCGAGTGGCTTCTGATGGCAATGAACTCCATGGTCACCCACGAGGAAACACCTCAGCCGTTGCCTTATCATTTACGCGTCATGTCAGTGGCAATTAGCAGAACCGTCGACGACGCTGCGATTATTAATTTCTTGATTACGACAACATTGTGACATGCAAAAGGAAAACACCTTTTCGAGTGCTGCATATGAGAGCTGAGAGGAGAACGCGCCGCCGCTTGGTTTATGGCGTGCCGTGAAAGCCAAGTTAACGAAGCAGCAAAGCCAATTAGATGCCATCATTATGCGGCACAAGCATCAACTGTGCAAGGAGTCACAATGCCACAATGCCGCATTGCCAGCCGATGATGAATCAGCTGCACCTCACGTGCAGCCAAGAGCACCTCCATCGTCAGGCAGTAGGTGCCACCAGCTCCTCATATTTGTAGGGTCGCCTGTGTACAAAGACGTTGCCTTCACTGTGCAGCTGGGCAGGAGCGGTTGCGGGTGCTGGTGCGGCAGTCCTGAAGTGGGGCACATTGCTTGACTCAATGACATTAATTACTTGTGTGGCGCACATGGAAGGGAACTGAAGAGCTGAAGAGGGCATGGCTCGACTTCTGCTCAATTCAATAGATTGACCACTTGGTGGGCTCTTTCGACTGCTTCAGTCTTTTAGCTATACGCCTAGTTATTTCTACATGCCATGGTTTGAATAGTTAATTGAAATGTGGGACGCGCACTTTATTTTCCAACGACACATAGCTTGTGCTTGACTTGGAAAGGAAAAGCAAGAAAGCAAGCCGAAGATAATATACCCTTGTAGACATTAGACTCAGGGTTTTACTAACGACTAAATCTGTCTATTGAGTACTCTAGGCAAGGTAAGGTAAGTTAGCTAAGGTAAAACTCGTAAATTTCAATAATGTTTCTTGGGAAAGAACGGACGGATTTATGTAACATTTCATAGATTCCATAACTAGACTCATTATTATATATATGTATTATATTATATATCCACTCGGAATTTAATATTGCTCAAGGAACGGGCTTGAAAGGTCTTCTTCTGTTGCCTGACAAAATTAAAGTACTCTCTAAAACAACCAGAAGAGGGTGAAAATACCTTATGTCATGAACTTTTCCTTCCCTCTTACTCTTCTTATCCTTCTCTCTTTTGTGGCCTCCATTTGCAGGTAAATTCGAAAATGCATTCAGCTTTGTGCGTCACTGTCATTGACCCTACTCCGGAGTTGGTAGCTTGTTTTCCTGCATTTCATGATCCACCCCTGACTGATTGTCGAAATATAATGGGCTTCACATAAAGAATTACCTGGCTTGTATATTCGATTGCCTCGAATGAAAGTGAGTCATGCTCCTCCCGACTTGGTCGCTGCACAAGCCTCAATCTGAAGATCAGAGAACATGCGTGTCTTATACCCTTTCAGCGTGTAGTTTGGTTCACGAAAGATGTAATCCATTCAAGGAAATATTTCTGTATTCATGAAGATATAAATACCCAGAAATAAACTTAGTTTTAATGGTAATAAATAAAATTGCTCAAATATAATAAGATAGGCTGTCAACATTGAAGAACTGAATCATTTAAATGCTTTAGGAAATTGTAGTAGAATTGATTGTCATCTGAAAGGGTATTTAAACTGCGGTTAACTTAAAAGAAGTGTTATTTCTGCATTTGTGTTAATCAAGCCATATTCATTACTCATAATAAGTGGTTACGTTTCCAGTTTCTTCATGATTGACAACGATAACCACGCAAAAATGGGGGCTAGTTGCAGTAAAGAGATTGACGGGGCATAAAAGATGCGCATGGAGTTGCAGAGATACGAGCTGTTCCCAACATCGTCGCTTTGTTAGATTAACAATGCATTCTCAAGCTCTAAGCTCGGAGGGCCACAGCTAAATATAAACATCTTGGCGATCTTGGCCGAGCATGTGTCCGCCCAATATGAGGTTGGGCGTAGTCAACAATTGAAGCAGCGCAAGTTTCTATTTAGCAGCAGTTCATTGACTTTCAAATGCAAACAAATCTCAGTCTTTTGAATAATAATTAGGCATAAAGGAAATTCCAATTGCGATCGGTTAAATAGGTTTTATAGTGCACATGAGTGTAATCTATGAGCCTATAAAGTTTATATAGTCTTGATCGCGTAATCCGGAGATTTTAGCATCTGGGCACAACAAACTTGGTAGGGTATAAACACATTAGAAATAATTATCTTTGAGCCAGTTTCTTTTGCCGTGGTATGTACTTATAGTACACATTTGGCAGCCATATTTAGGCACTGAGAATTTTATACAAATCAGACCGAAGTTATTCAGGAAGAAGAATCAGAAGTTGTGTGTGTGTGTGTGTGTGTTTGTAGGGTATGCTAGTCGAGCACTCCCGACTTGTTTATGTCTATTCCATCTGAAACCATGCTGAATCAGTATTTTCAGCAAGTTTTCGATTACCTTTCTTATCTAATACAAGGAACCGGAAAGATAACAAACGTTTTGCATAGATAAGGCAGCTGAGACGAGAGCCGCAAATGAAATGGAGTAAACTGTAACTTGCTCGACTTTCAATACCCTTACCCTGAAAAAACGGTGTACATTGAAAAGAACTGTATTTTTGTGTGCCACATCTGTTGATCAAATAGCTTCGTTCGCTCCACAAATATTTACACAACCAGACAAGTCAAGTCGTTTGATGGTAGAAGGGGGAAGGGGAAGGGAGGCGGGGTGGTAGCAGGGGACTTAAAACTGGGCGGAGGAGCGCCCGTTAAAGCAAACTATGCCACAGATTCACAGCGAAAACGCAGCGCTAACACAACTTCCGTAGTTGGGCTCGTTCGTTCGTTCGTTCACACTTTCTGGATTATGCAGCTTCCACACATACTCACACACACATATGTACATACACTGTGCTACATGGCAGAACTTCTATTTGCGTTAGTTGGTAAAAACAGGCAGGCGGGGAGGGGGGGGGGCTTCATTTCCAACTGAATCGAAGATGAGGCGTTCGTTTGCCGTCTGGCAATAAAACTCCGCCCCAACCCGCCCCACCCCGCTTCGCCAGCCCTTAGAGCGCCTATATATAAATATTTATATTACTCTATGCAAATGATTCGTTTTGAAATTTGATTTTTGCGAAATCAATTTCGGTTTAGTCTGGACTGCAATTCGTTTAGTGATGTTTACATCGCAGCTACATCCGCATGAATATGTAGATGAATATGTAGATACTTTATATGGGCTAACGATGAGTGGACCGCTTCTCATTCGAGCACAGTTATCTGACTTTTCATCTAATAGCTTTGATTCTGTTTTAATGAGCATCGCTGAATAATTTAGCCGGAGACGGAGAACGAATGAAGACGAAGACATTACAAGAACTATTATAGATATGTAGAACTTGGAAGTTTAATACAGTTGAACATTTCTTTATACGATTGATCAGCAGTTTATTTAAATAATGTATTCGTAAGAAGGTTCTATGCCTTATAAATTCGGACTATTTTTGGAGATTGAATAACTGACAGACTGATTAATTTGTGATTAATGTACTGGGAAACTGATGGAAGAAATTAATTTCATCCTTCAAGATTCATTTTCCCAGCCAGAAACACTAGGGAGCGCTTAAAACTGGGTCAGGTGTCCAGGTTAGCCCTTCAAGCACCATTCTTGTGAGTTGTTTTGTGGTTAATAATACACCTGCTTGTTGTTGATGATCAAACAGTTTACGGTTCATTCAACAGGGGCCACAAAAAGCAGCATTGCACTAACAATGGCCCGTGCAACATGCCAAATCAGGGGCCGGGCCAAACTATTTTCGGCTGGTTGCACACCTGTCTAGCAAAGGGGGTTTGCCCTGCAGCAAATGACCTAGCCATGGACTAGGGTGACAAGGCATTCAAGCAAGAGCTAATTGTGGGGCGCACATATCCGGTTTGAGGTCAGCTTGTGTGCTGCTGGGTTCATTGATTCTCACTCAAATTGCCTTCAGGATGTGACACAGTAAGACTTGCGTTAGGGCTTTGGATAACTTCTATGAAGGATACTTAAACTTTCTCTGTTCCAAAAAATGCCCAGAACCCCTTTTATAATCAAAATCTAAACTGTTTTCTTTTGATTGCAGAGAACCTTTTGCAAAATACATATTATAATGGTGAAGGCGGCGACAGCAGCATGGGCAGCGAATGTGGTGCTGCAGATATTAATCAGACTACTCATGAGGATCCCGGCGATGGCCTAGGACCTCTGCCCCCCAAATGGGAGACCGCCTACACGGAACGAGGCGAGCTCTACTTCATAGAGTAAGTGAGACCAAGCAGCTAGCTAGAAAGCACGCGTAATAATAACAATTTCCTTTTGTGTAGCCACAATACGGGCACCTCGCATTGGCTGGATCCACGTCTGTCCAAGTATCAGAAGAAATCGCTGGAGGATTGCTGCGAGGACGAGCTGCCCTATGGCTGGGAGAAGATCGAAGACTCTATGTACGGCATGTACTTTATTGATCACGTTAATCGTCGCACCCAGTACGAGAATCCCGTGCTAGAAGCCAAACGACGTGCGGCCGAACAACGCCAGCAACAGCAGGAACAGATGCAGCTCCAGCAGCAGCAACAGCCTCCGCCGCCGCCGCAGCAACGTTCAAAGACGCCGACGGCAGCGCAGGAGGCGGCAGCCAGACAAACTCCGATGCCGAGTGCAACAATTCCAATCGCGAATACTGCCAAGCTGCCATACAAGTTCACGCGCAATCCGGCAGAGCTGCAGGGTCAGCGCATCAACACAACGCTGCTGAAGTCCACGCGCGGACTGGGCTTTACGATCGTCGGCAGCGATGGCAGCAACGGCAGCGACGTGGAGGAGTTTCTGCAAATCAAGACAGTGGTGCCCAACGGGCCCGCCTGGGTGGATGGCCAGCTGCAGACGGGCGATGTGCTGGTCTATGTGAACGATACCTGCGTACTGGGCTACACCCACCATGATATGGTGAACATCTTTCAGTCAATACTGCCCGGAGAGACAGCTGCGCTGGAGATGTGCCGCGGTTACCCACTGCCCTTCGATCCGAATGATCCCAATACCGAGGTGGTGACCACCATGGCCGTGGATGGACTTGCCTCCGAGTCGGAGAAGCAGCGTCGTTTAAATGTCGACCTGAACATGGATGGCAATTACAATTTTCTGGATTTGTCCGGCGAAGGCGTCAGCAAGGCTGCTGGCAGTGGAAGTGGCTTCATACTCATGAAAAAGCCGGAGCTCTATACGTTCTCCATTATGAAGGGAGCCATGGGCTTTGGCTTTACCATCGCCGACTCTGCATGCGGACAAATAGTGAAAAAGATCCTCGACCGCAACTGCTGCACTCAGCTGCTTGAAGGAGACGTGCTGCTCGAGATAAATGGCATCAACGTGCGCAACAAGCCCCACTTCTATGTGGTCGAGTTGCTCAAGGAGTGCAGCCAAACCACGCCCACCGCCCTCAAGATACAACGCACGCCGCCCGAGCAAGCGGCTAGCGGCCAGGGCAGCCAGCTGGGCGTGGGTAATGTGGCTAATCTGCGCAAGAACTTTGTGGGCAGCGGACTCTTTCGCAGCAAAACGCCCACCGCCGACCTGTACAGCACCCAGCCCAAGGAGGTGCTGCCCATGCGACCCAAGACGCCGTTAGTAGATACACGACGTGCCCGCGTTCTGACGCCAAATAATGAGCTGCAGCAGACGGATGTGGAGGCGGCGGGTGAAAACAAATCACTGCACCTGCAGGCCCAGGGCAAGTCAAACAACAGTCTGCAGGAGCTGGACGATATACCCTTTATGGATCCGTATCCCAAGATGGTGAGCCGACTGAGTGAGCGCCTCGCCGAGGCCACATTACAGAGCAGCGTCGATGTCGATGTTGGCGATGGGGGCAGCTACAATCCCATTTACGGCTTGCCACCAAGCATGCAGCCGCTGCCCCTGCCGCTTGCGCATCACGAGTCCTGCTACTGTTACGACTGCCAGGCCCAGCGCTACCAACGGCCCCAGCAGTCGACGCAGCTGGGCTACTACGTCCAGCAACCGACCGTTTCTGCAGCAGCCGGCCAGTACTCGCCATTGCAAGCAGCGCACATTCAGAATGAGCGCATGCAGCGGCGCGTCAACGAGCTGCTGAGCGACAGACGACGTGTAGGGTTCGCCAATTTGGATCCGCCACAGCAGCAGCAGCAGATGCAGCTGCAGCATTCGCCCAGCTGGCGCAATGGGGCGTTGCTGGATGTCTCGGAGGATGCCGACCAGTGCGAGCTGACCGAAGTAACGCTGGAACGGCAGGCGATGGGCTTCGGCTTTCGCATTGTAGGTGGTACTGAGGAGGGTTCTCAGGTGACCGTAGGCCACATTGTGCCTGGCGGCGCAGCGGATAATGATCACCGTATTGCCACCGGCGACGAGATCCTAAGCATCGATGGCATCAATGTGGTAAGTCGCTTCACGCCGGCTCACAGCATGATTCGTTTCTAAAATGCATTTCTTTCGATTAGTTAAACTCTTCGCATCACAAAGTCGTTTCGCTGGTGGGTGAGTCAGCCGTGCGCGGACAGGTCACCATGATACTGCGCAGGCGACGGGCGCAGCTGCTGCAGCAAGCGCCGCTGGCGCAGCTCCGACGCTATCCCTACGACGTGATTGTTAGTCGCCATGAGAACGAGGGCTTTGGCTTTGTCATAATCTCTTCGTCTAATCATTACTACGGCTCGACAATTGGTATGAACGCACATCTTTGAATCTCATTCGAAAAGTAAATGATTTTTACATTAAATTTGTTTATGCACAGGCAAACTTATACCTGGCAGTCCGGCTGATAGGTGTGGCGAGCTGAAAGTTGGCGACAGGATAATTGCAGTTAACCGCATTGACATTGCGGGCATGTCGCACGGCGATGTGGTCAATCTTATAAAAGAGTCAGGACTTCATGTGCGCCTCACTATCGGCTGTCCACTCAAAGAGGGCGGGCCCAGTCCAGGAGGCAGCAGTGCAGGCCTGGGCTCAAACACTCCGCTGCAGGCATCGCCCAGTTTACTCAAAGCACCGCAACAGCAACAACAGCAACAACTGCAGCAACACCAGCAACTGGAAATGCCAGGACTAGGCCCGATGCCCGGCAGCTATTTGGAGCGGGCCAGCACAAACATCGCGGCTACTCTCGCTCTGCATCAGCAGCAGCCACAGTTATGACTCTGAGATTTACGCATTCGGCTCTACAAGAGCTTTCTCTAGCTAGTTTAAATGTGCATTTCACAGTGCAGTTCCGTAGTTTTATGAATAACTGCTAAGTAACCCCAAAGACTGAATTTAGTAACATATGAAACATTTCAATTTACGAATCTCTAACCGCTTTGTGAAGCTCTACACAAAATTGTCAGTAAAATCTGTTTAATTTGTATAACCGTTTAAGTGATTTGCCTTGTAGTTTACATAGATCTAAGACATAATTGAAATCTTGAGCTATTTTCTCTATTTATAAACAATTCTGATTATCAAATATGGCATCATTTTAACATATTAGCATAAACCCATACCTTTTAAGATGCATAAAGTTTGTCTATAAATACCAATTATTTAGTCTAGACATATATGTACAAATGTATAGCAACTAAATACTTCTAATTTACACAATATGTTGTTCAATAAATGATATTACGACTAGTTTTTAATAACAGCATCATTTGAATGCATCCTTTAGAACGAATCAAGTTCAGTTTGGCCGACAATTCCTAGTTAGTGATCTAAGCGAATAGTTAATCAGCTTCTCAATAGTCTACTAGAGCTTTGGAATAGTTTAATCTTAATAGGGTACAAGTTCGGCCTATATAATATAGTATTCCAGACAGAAGAGAGGCAACTTATGATCTTGGTTAATATAGGATTAAAATGCCTTCCTTCAATGTTTTAGATTTTTATTTTTGAAATGGCTTCAAACGATTCTCAGGTAAACGGCCGACATGCAGATCACCGCAGCGCAATCTTAACACTTTTGTTTTATTTACCATCGTACAAAATTATATATATGTTGTTCTTTTGTAGTAAATCGTTACAAAATTAAGTGTGTCTGCTAATTAAGCTTATGTTTAGTATATATAAATGAGTTGAATACAGCTGGGGAAGATTGAGACAACAGTTTTTATATAGGCTTAATTTTAAAGTGGAGACCGATGAGAGAAAACACCAAACACTTCAGATCCTGCACCAAATAATAGAAGCAGCGCAAGCCTTCTGGGTCCTTTGATCGGTTCACGTCCACCAATGAGCCTGTCTTTGAGGTTGTAAAGGAAATGTGCTCGTCGCCAATTACAATTTCCAGTTCCTTTTGAAATGGAGAAATACAATGGTTAATATTTGTATGTACATACAAATTGGCGGCATTTGCACGAAGCAATCCGCCTACTCACCTGTCGACCAACGCGATCCGGAGGCGGCCAGGGCAGATCATCTTCCTGCATTATTTCTGAGTCAATTATGATACGCTTTAGCTCCTCCATGACAGATTGGTGGACAAATGCCTCTTTGCGGATCATCGTGTCGTTTTTATAGTTGGAATTGTTGGCGTAGCGTAGTTTTCCATCTGGCCGGAACTCGAACTCAAGAAACTCGTGTCCAAACTTTCCTTTGTGGCCGACATAATAACGCAAGTAAAAGTCCTCTGTTGACATTTTTTTCACTTGAGTTGCCCAAATAGTTTATGCTTTTTTTAATAAATGAATAAATTGTAGTTTTCTTCAGCAAACACTTTTACTCACAACGTTGCGGCTTTCTTCAGGGTTGCGCATTGTGGTTAGTTTAGATAATTTTATACACATCGTTGATAGCTCACCGCATATCGATTGCTATCGATATGTACGCGTGACAACGCGAATGGCACGTTGCAAGCAAGTTGGCCAAAAACTGTGTTGAGTTTTGTGTTAAAATGTAACTTTATTTTATTTAAAGACAACTACCTCCATAATTCACTCAATAAATTCGGTAAGCTAACGCCAAAGAAAACATCAAAATATGAAAACCAAGTTCAATTGCACACACTGACAACATTGTAATAATTGCAATTTGCAACAAAGTTGGCAAATGTATGTACAAATGGTGTTGTTGTTGGCTGTTTTGTTCACGACGCACGGACGCCAATGTAATGGCGTCGCAAAATTCGCCTTGTGGGAGAGGACGTGCGTGCATGCAGGGGGTGGATGCTAGCTCAAACGCGTGGGCGCTGGTGCTACAACACAGCAATGCACGGATCTCGGTCAAAGTAATTTTACAAAAACACAAACACTAAACTGCTGAGAGCGTCGCTGAGAGTGCACGTCTGCGGATTGTTGTTGTTCGTAAACGAAAAACGAAAGTGCAAGGACTTTAAGACGCTTGCGCGTCCAATGGCGGGAAATCAACAAGCGTTGCCTGCACGTGTGTCCATACGCGTGCTTAACTTGCCCGTCGTCCTTCGGGCCTGTTGCCAAATGTCGGTCGTGCAACAAAGTTGCGCTCATTGCTTCTCGTGCTCTCCCTCTCCCACTCTCAAGCGCTCTCTCTCTCTCTCTCCAACTGTCTCTCCAGGACGCTCGTTACGTTAACTTGCTGGTGGTTTGTTTTGAATGACGTCACAAAACCGATGACATTGAGTGCAACTTTGTTGCTGTCTCTCGGTCAGCGCATGTGAAGCAATAATGTTGCATCCGCATGCCGATGTGCTTGTGCCTGGCCTGTTCCTGGACTTGCCTAGTAATGCCTGCCCTGTTGTGCTTTCTTTCATAATATTGACAACACAAACAAAAACACGCCCACTTGCCATCGCACACTCTAGCTTCGAGACTCTGTTTGCTGACTGCAAATTTCTCTTCGTGCAAAATTTTGCCGGCTGCTGCCGCTGCCGCTGATTTTATTGGCGCTGCCGCCGCGTCGCTTACAACTTTGTTAACTTCGGGACTTTGGTGTATGCAGTCGGTATTGAGGACAGTAACCGGGACGAAGTTACTTTGTTGCGCATTAATTGATTTTTTCGGGTCCAAGTTTTTTCAAAACCAAAGTAATAAATCGCTGTAAAAGAATCAAAGAATAAGATTACAAATTGTGAGTTTCTATTTATATTAAGGTAAATGGAAATCTTCAAACTACACAAGATTTATGTAAAACTTAGACTATATATATAACATGTAAAAGGCTATATCTATGTCAAACTTAAAAGTTTGTTTTTATTTATAAATTAAAGCTTTTATATTATTTGTATTTAATCGATGGCTAAATATTCTGATATTAAGACTGACTTTAATATGTAAAATATATATATTAATCAATCAATAATCAACTTGTCCCTCTCTTATCTTTACAGGCAATGTAGTTTCTCTACAAGCTTTTTATAAGATATACTTATATATAAATATATAGATGCATAGACGTAACCTGTATACAACATTCCATTTGGTGTAGTAAAGTAATTATGGATACATGAATTGAGGTTCTGCACGGACTGGAAAGTAACGACCTCAACGGCAACGTGGAGCGGGCAGGCAGGGAGTAAGCAAAAGTCAACCATGTCAACGAACCCCAACCAACAGCAATATGCAGCAACTACAACAGCAACAGCAACGGCAGCGGCAGCGATATGCAACCGGGAGAGGGCCAGAGAGCGGGCTGGGTGCAGTAGCTCGCAGCGCAACTTGCTCGAGTTTCTGTGCATTTGTGTGGCATGCGTCGTGTGTTATTACAATAGCACGCAGTGCGGCCTGGTGTTCGACGATGTCAGCGCGATAAGGGACAACAAGGATTTGCGGCCGAGCACGCCGCTGCGTAATGTGTTCCTTAACGATTTCTGGGGCACGCCAATGCGCAAGGAGCACTCGCACAAGTCCTACAGGCCACTGACAGTGTTGACGTTTCGCTTTAACTACTTGCTGCACGCACTGGATCCTTTCGGCTACCATCTCGTCAACCTGCTGCTGCATGTTGCCGTCTGTCTGCTGTGGCGGCGTGTCTGTCGCCTTCTGCTGCGTCAGTGTGTGGCTGGCAGTAATGAAACGCAGTCCTCCGCGTCCGCATCCGCGTCTGTGTCCTCGCTCAACACATGCGCTTTTGTCGCTTCGCTCCTGTTTGCAACACACCCGGTGCACACCGAGGCCGTTACTGGCGTCGTAGGCCGTGCTGAATTGCTCTCTTCAATATGCTACCTGGGCGCGTTTCTCAGCTATGCGCACGCAACGGGCGGCTCGCCTCGGCGCACGAACTGGGCCTCGCTTTGCCTGTGCTTTGGCAGTTGCCTGCTAGCTTCCATGTTGTGCAAGGAGCAAGGCATCACGGTAGCTGGCATATGCGCTGTCTACGAACTTTTCGTGGTGCAGCAGGTGCGGCCGCTGCACCTGTGCCATTTTGTGCTGCGTATGTTTGAGGAGCAGCCGCCGGCCAAGTTGGGACAAGCCAGTGCACGACGCTGGTCGTCGACACTATGGAAGCGTTTGGCGTTTCTTGCCCTCATCACTGTCGCATTGCTGGTTGGACGTGTCTACGTGATGGGCTCCCAGCTGCCAGTCTTCACCCGCTTCGATAACCCTGCCTCGGCAGCTGCTACGCCAGTGCGGCAGCTAACCTACGGCTACCTCATCTACCTGAACTGCTGGCTGTTGCTGTACCCATCGTTGCTCTGCTGCGATTGGACAATGGGTGAGTAGCAAACAATGAAGATTATTCATATTAAAGCTTAATCGAAAACATCTTGCCTTGCAGGCACCGTGCCCCTGCTGGAAGGATTCGCTGATCCTCGAAACTTGGCCACCTTGTGCACTTTTCTTGGTCTTGGCGCGCTGGCGGCCAAGGCTTGCTTTTCACGAAATCTATCGCAGTCACGCACGCTGCTCATGTGCCTCGGCTGGATAGTGCTGCCATTTTTGCCCGCCTCGAATCTATTCTTCCCGGTCGGCTTCGTGGTGGCTGAGCGCATTCTTTACATGCCATCGATGGGCTACTGCTTAATGGTTGCCTACGGGTATCACCAGTTACAGCAGCGATGGCGTTTGCGTTGGGGGCGTCTGGCGCAGACGGCGCTCATTGCGCTGCTGGTCGCGCACGGGCTGAAGACACATCAGCGCAACTGGGACTGGCGCACGGAGTACTCGCTTTTTATGTCCGGGGTGCATGTGAACCAACGCAACGCCAAGCTGTACAATAACGTGGGACACGCACTGGAGAACGAGGGCCGATACGACGAGGCTCTGATGTACTTCCAGCAAGCCGTACACATACAAACAGATGACATTGGCGCTCACATTAACGTGGGTCGCACCTACAACAATCTCAAGCGCTATGCCGAGGCGGAGCAAGCGTACATGCGTGCCAAGGCGCTTTTCCCGCAGGCCAAAGCTGGTGTTAGTTACCACGCAAGGATTGCGCCCAATCATTTGAATGTTTTTATCAATCTGGCCAATCTGATATCCAAGAATCAAACAAGACTGGAGGAAGCCGATCATCTCTACAGACAGGCAATTAGCATGCGCAGTGACTACGTCCAGGTGAGACTTTAAGACGACAACAGTTGTGTGCATTATATTAATACTAGTGTTGCGCTTCACTTTGCAGGCCTATATCAATCGGGGCGACATTCTTATGAAGCTAAATCGCACAGCTCAAGCACAGGAGGTTTACGAGCAGGCGCTTCTTTATGATAGCGAGAACGCGGATATCTATTACAATTTGGGCGTTGTGTTTCTGGAACAGGGCAAGAGTCAACAGGCGCACGTGTACTTCAACAAAGCAATCGAGCTGTATCCGGAGCACGAGCAAGCACTGCTCAATTCGGCCATACTTCTGCAGGAACTCGGCGGAGCGGAGGCGCGTCAATTGTCACGTGCCCGCCTATACCAGGTGTTGGCTAGAGATGCGAACAATGAGAAGGTTTACTTCAATCTAGGAATGTTGGCGATGGACGAGATGAGCTTTGACGAAGCCGAGCAATTCTTCAAACGTGCTATTCACCTGAAGTCGGACTTTCGCAGCGCGCTCTTTAATTTGGCACTGTTATTGGCGGACTCGAAGCGGCCGCTGGATGCAGTGCCTTTTCTTAATCAATTAATCCGCCACCATCCCACTCATGTGAAGGGTCTTATACTGCTGGGCGACATATACATCAACCACATGAAGGATCTAGATGCGGCAGAGAAGTGCTATCGCAGCATACTGCAGCACGACCCACGCAATACGCAGGGCCTGCACAATCTATGCGTGGTTTTCGTGGAACGCAAGTGGATGGCCAAGGCGGCAGCCTGCTTGCAGTTCGCCCAACGACTTGCGCCCGGCGAGGATTACATTGGACGCCACCTCCAGATTGTGAACTCACGCCTGCAAAAAATCAACAAGTTACCTGATACGTCGCCTGAGCGACAGTTAGCTTACAAGGACTACGACCCGCTCGAGTTCAGGCCAGCCGATGGTGTCCTAAGCTTGTAGCAGTTCCCATCATCAGGCTATTCCACATTTGCGAAGCATTTCGTCTAGCTTAAGTAAACATTATATAGCAACCCAATTGTACATTCCCCAAGGATATTTATTGAATCTCGTTTGGACTGCCGTTTAGCTGATACAAACGTGGAATGTATCCGGACAGCTACTACAGTTTTCAACAAAGTACGTAATCACAACCTGACCTTGTTTTGTATATAGAACACATTTTGTAAATGTTAAGTAAAAAGTACTACCGAAAACTTGCATTTATTATATACAAAAGAAATTGTACTTAATGGCACTAAATAAAATTATCTGTACTTAAATGCGCATAGCACTGGGTTATTTTCAGTTCAGTCATGAATTATGTAAAGTAAAAAATCCAAATACCGATATTATTTCGGTTTAAACAAAATACATATGTATTTAGTCACAATAAGGGAAAATCGTAATTGGCTTGGGATATGCAATCTCATGCTTCAGATGCAGCTAACAATAGTTCAATTCCAAACCAGGCTTCGGCTTTAAACAAGTAAGAGGTTCTAGACGGGAGCTCTCGACTAGGGGATACCCTGGACCAAAGACAATATAAACTCTAAGATGAGTAACGCCCATACATTTGAATGCGACGCAAAATTTTTAGCCTGGCCTTTCATCTGGCCGTTGAGGTTTCGTACGGCTACCTGCCGACTGGTTGTTCGTTCTCGAAAGACCAGACGAACGAATGCCGAAGTGTTTATATTGTCTTTGCCTAAACCCTCTTCTTCCAACATCAAATGCATATATATATTCTATTTTAGAAGCTATATGTCAAGTTTGGGGACTCTAGCTCTTATTATTTACCAAAATTGCCCAAAAAACAGGATATCGGTTTTTACAAAACAAACTCGATCTGCGCAGGCATATATATATACTTTATATATTTGCTTTATGGGGTCCGAGATGTATCCTTCTGCCTGTTACATACATTTGGATTTTGCACAGATACAATATACCCTAATACCCATTTTTAATGGGTTCAGGGTATAATCATCGAAAACGGAGCGCGGAGTTATGTCGTTTTGGAACGTCATATCTCCGCGCGGAGCTATTACCCGAGATATTAATATAAATCATCGAAAAATATTCTATTTTCGCACAGACCTTAATTTAAAAAAAAAACCTGATGATTAATTTGTTTGAATGCCAATTGATGGTAGGGATCCGTACGCATTTAAAAAGGTATAACATTTTAAAATCAGACATTATTTACCCGAGATATTAAAAAAAATCATCGTACAAGTTTCGATTGTTGCACCGACCTCGATTTTGAAAAAAAAACGCGGGGAGTCATATCTCCGCGGGGAGTTATGTCGTTTTGAAACGTCATATCTCCGCGGGGAGTTATGTCGTTTTGGAACGTCATATCTCCGCGGGGAGTTATGTCGTTTTGGAACGTCATATCTCCCCGCGGAGCTATTACCCGAGATATTAAAAAAATCATCGAAAAAGATTCGATTTTCGCACCGATCTCGATTTTGAAAAAAAAACGTGATGTATAACCTTGCCATTTGGTCGATTTGGGTCAAAATGTTGGAATTCCCTTTTTTGATGCCAATCGTTACTGTTCCTTATGATTGAAAAATGGTATGAAATTGCAAAATCGGACATTATTTGAGGGAAATATTCCAAAAAATCATCAAAAAGGTTGAATTTACGAACGAATCGGTTTTTTGACAACAACATTTTTCAACCTATTGATGATTAATTGGTTTGAATGCCAATTGATGGCAGGGATCCGTACGCATTTAAAAAGGTATAACATTTTAAAATCAGACATTATTTACCCGAGATATTAAAAAAAAACATTGAACAAGTTTCGATTGTCGCACCGACCTCGATTTTGAAAAAAAAACGTGATGGAAAAAACTTTAAATGGTCATAACTTTAAATGGTCATATCTCGGCCAAATAAAGCCCGATTTCGGTCAAAAAGGGAAGGGCCACTCGGGGAGGTCCGTAGAATCCGCCAAGATCGACGGCGAAGTTATGTCGCTTTGAAACGTCATATCTCCGCCGCTCTAAAAAAATCTTGGAGATATGACGTTTCAAAGCGACATAACTTCGCCGTCGATCTTGGCGGATTCTACGGACCTCCCCGAAAAGCCCCTTCCTTTTTGGCCCCTATCGGGCTTTATTTGGCCGAGATATGACCATTTAAAGTTTTCCAAAAAAATTCGTGTGGTTGTGGACACGATATGCATGACATAATCTCGCCATAATCTCCGCCGATCTAAAAAATCATGGAGATATGACGTTTCAAAGCGACATAACTTCGCCGTCGATCTTGGCGGATTCTACGGACCTCCCCGAGTAGCCCCTACCTTTTTGGCCCCTATCGGGCTTTATTTGGCCGAGATATGACCATTTAAAGTTTTCCAAAAAAATTCGTGTGGTTGTGGACACGATATGCATGACATAATCTCGCCATAATCTCCGCCGATCTAAAAAATCATGGAGATATGACGTTTCAAAGCGACATAACTTCGCCGTCGATCTTGGCGGATTCTACGGACCTCCCCGAGTAGCCCCTACCTTTTTGGCCCCTATCGGGCTTTATTTGGCCGAGATATGACCATTTAAAGTTTTCCAAAAAAATTCGTGTGGTTGTGGACACGATATTCATGACATAATCTCGCCATGATCTCCGCCGATCTAAAAAATCATGGAGATATGACGTTTCAAAGCGACATAACTTCGCCGTCGATCTTGGCGGATTCTACGGACCTCTCCGAGTGGCCCCTTCCTTTTTGGCCCCTATCGGGCTTTATTTGGCCGAGATATGACCATTTAAAGTTTTCCTAAAAAATACGTGTGGTTGTGGACACGATATTCACGACATAATCTCGGCATGATCAACGGCGGAGTTATGTCGCTTTGAAACGTCATATCTCCGCCGATCTAAAAAACCATGGAGATATGACGTTTCAAAGCGACATAACTTCGCCGTCGATCTTGGCGGATTCTACGGACCTCTCCGAGTGGCCCCTTCCTTTTTGGCCCCTATCGGGCTTTATTTGGCCGAGATATGACCATTTAAAGTTTTCCAAAAAAATTCGTGTGGTTGTGGACACGATATTCGCGACATAATCTCGGCATGATCAACGGCGGAGTTATGTCGCTTTGAAACGTCATATCTCCGCCGCTCTAAAAAAATCTTGGAGATATGACGTTTCAAAGCGACATAACTCCGCCGTCGATCTTGGCGGATACTACGGACCTCCCCGAAAAGCCCCTTCCTTTTTGGCCCCTATCGGGCTTTATTTGGCCGAGATATGACCATTTAAAGTTTTCCAAAAAAATTCGTGTGGTTGTGGACACGATATTCATGACATAATCTCGCCATAATCTCCGCCGATCTAAAAAATCATGGAGATATGACGTTTCAAAGCGACATAACTTCGCCGTCGATCTTGGCGGATTCTACGGACCTCTCCGAGTGGCCCCTTCCTTTTTGGCCCCTATCGGGCTTTATTTGGCCGAGATATGACCATTTAAAGTTTTCCTAAAAAATACGTGTGGTTGTGGACACGATATTCACGACATAATCTCGGCATGATCAACGGCGGAGTTATGTCGCTTTGAAACGTCATATCTCCGCCGATCTAAAAAACCATGGAGATATGACGTTTCAAAGCGACATAACTTCGCCGTCGCTCTTGGCGGATTCTACGGACCTACCCGAGTAGTCCATCCCTTTTTTGCCCCTATCGGGCTTTATTTGGCCGAGATATGACCATTTAAAGTTTTCCAAAAAAAGTTCGTGTAGTTTAGGACACGATATTCACGACATAATCTCGCCATGATCTCCGCCGATCTATAAAATCATGGAGATATGACGTTTCAAAGCGACATAACTTCGCCGTCGATCTTGGCGGATTCTACGGACCTCCCCGAGTAGCCCCTTCCTTTTTGACCGAAATCGGGCTTTATTTGGCCGAGATATGACCATTTAAAGTTTTCCAAAAAAATTCGTGTGGTTGTGGACACGATATTCACGACATAATCTCGCCATGATCAACGGCGAAGTTATGTCGCTTTGAAACGTCATATCTCCGCCGATCTAAAAAAAATCATGAAGATATGACGTTTCAAAGCGACATAACTTCGCCGTCGATCTTGGCGGATTCTACGGACCTCCCCGAGTGGCCCTTCCCTTTTTGACCGGAATCGGGCTTTATTTGGCCGAGATGTGACCATTTAAAGTTTTCCAAAAAAATTCGTGTGGTTGTGGACACGATATTCACGACATAATCTCGCCATGATCAACGGCGAAGTTATGTCGCTTTGAAACGTCATATCTCCGCCGATCTAAAAAAAATCATGAAGATATGACGTTTCAAAGCGACATAACTTCGCCGTCGATCTTGGCGGATTCTACGGACCTCCCCGAGTGGCCCTTCCCTTTTTGACCGGAATCGGGCTTTATTTGGCCGAGATATGACCATTTAAAGTTAACCAAAAAAATTCGTGTGGCTGTGGACACGATATTCACCACATAATCTCGCCATGATCAACGGCGAAGTTATGTCGCTTTGAAACGTCATATCTCCGCCGCTCTAAAAAAATCTTGGAGATATGACGTTTCAAAGCGACATAACTTCGCCGTCGATCTAGGCGGATTCTACGGACCTCCCCGAGTAGCCCCTTCCTTTTTGGCCCCTATCGGGCTTTATTTGGCCGAGATATGACCATTTAAAGTTTTCCAAAAAAAGTTCGTGTAGTTTAGGACACGATATTCACGACATAATCTCGCCATGATCTTCGCCGATCTATAAAATCATGGAGATATGACGTTTCAAAGCGACATAACTTCGCCGTCGATCTTGGCGGATTCTACGGACCTCCCCGAGTAGCCCCTTCCTTTTTGGCCCCTATCGGGCTTTATTTGGCCGAGATATGACCATTTAAAGTTTTCCAAAAAAATTCGTGTGGCTGTGGACACGATATTCACCACATAATCTCGCCATGATCAACGGCGAAGTTATGTCGCTTTGAAACGTCATATCTCCGCCGCTCTA